TAACATTACGAACTAATAACGTATTTAGTAATAAATCGCGGATAACACGAGAACGAACACTATTACCGGCAACAACACAGACAAACAATGGCGAATACAAGACAGCTGACAGACTGTAGCAGTAATGACTCACTTCCGTCGTCTACATGCGAGCATACAGAAATAACCCTGAGTGTAGGGCTGCCACTCTCTGAATCTATATTTCTTCCTCTTCAAAATGACATACTATATGACTAGTAATAATAAATTACACTGTATGTAATTCGTATTTTCCACATCGTCACCTGACAATCATTGGCCATTTGTTAAAAATTTCAAAAACAGCTGTTTTCATAAAATCGTACCGGTTGTGCAATCAATATTTTGTTCTAAATATTACTACCACAATGAAGATAAAATCAATGGCTATTCAGTGGTACCATCCGCAACATCCCACGACGAAAATTACCCGAGCAGGGTAATGCCAAACAAGACGTGTTTTGCCAGTTCCCAAGTGTCGGCTGCAAAAGTCGTGCCGCGCCAAAAATTCATTTGATTTCTAATCGTCGTGACATTGTTATATAGTCTACCTGCTACAGGGTTTGTTTATGTAATAAAATGAAAGTTCAGAATGTGATCTTTCGAATGGTATATATGTATATTATTCTCATCTGAGTTGACTATACGTGTTTTTTTTACCGCTAAAAAAATTTCGGCCCACATCGTCACTAGACGACTTTGGCCATTCTAAGCATCAACGTCAGATCGTCACCAGACGACGATCGGCCACTGCTAGGGTTAACTTAAGTACTTGTGAACCTGTCAATAACTCACCAATAAGTAGGCTAGTCCCTAAGTTACCCCTTCTAAAAATCAATAAACGGCACTGTTTTTTCCGTTTTGCGGAAAAATACGGCCGCACACAGTAGCCTATTACCAATATGGTCACGAGGTAAAGGACACCTTAACGCTCAAGTCAGTAGCATGGTCATAGCCTATACCAGGAACACAGGAGGGTCATAAGTTAATAAGGGCTTAAAATGACAAACTGGGCTTTACTTACTTTATTTACTAGGCTTTATTTACTTTGGCAAGTTGGGCTTTAACTTATGCAGATTCGTGGCTGTAAATGTTTTGAAGTTAGACCCGGTTAGATTAGGTGTTTAGATGTTGTGACGTGGTAACCTGAGCGCTCTAAGTTTGTTTGCAGGCGGAATTTCACCCGGTGGCAGATTTGAGAGTCAAATGAAAATAGACAGAGCGTGATAAATTGTGAATTTTACCCCTTGTCCATATAACTAGCGTTCAGGCAACTGTAGATGTAAGGCCCAGATTATACCCCCCGGAATTTTATCCCCAGAAATTTTACTCCCGGTTTTTTCCCTTCCAATTTTTTAATACCCCCCCGTCCCTCCCAGCATTTTTCTCCTGGATTTTTAGGCTACCCCTTTGGAATTTTCCCCCTGTGCAAATATAGGAGTTGTGAGATTATTTAATTTTCTGATTTCAGGTTTGATTGACAATAGTAGGCCTAAAAATTTTAAAAACAGATAATTAAGTAGCCTATACTTATCTTAATTTATTTGTAATCTCAGGTGCTAAAGAAACAGGTTTCGATGTTTAATTTTGACATCGAGTTTCGGGATTCGACTTTTGGGGCCAACTGTTAGTTAATATGTATGTAAACAAACTGGGTCTAGCCTATTTGAATGATAATTGGGTTAAACATTTCTTAAACGATTTACTATACGACCGTGGAAAATCAATTTATATTTAAAAGAGAATGGATTATTCTCGAGCACTGATTTCTATATCTGGCCAGAGGGTAAAAATCTGGGCCGCAGATTACATTTTCAGCTGACCTCATTAACCCTAGCAGTGGCCAATGTTAGAAGTGGGGAATGACCAACCCATTTGGGCGATTTTGCCGACCTTTTTTTGAAAATTCGTAAAAATTCAACCGTAGGCCTACAAGTAAACCTAGCCAACCTCATAATTATTTTGTTCGGAAAGAACAGGAGACTCTAGAAATAGTAATATAATAATGATTTAGATACTGTATTTTTCGGCAAAGTGAAAAAAAAAAAAAAAATTGATTTTTTTTTTGAAATTTCAAAAGCGGCCTCGGTATTTTTTTTCTACAGATTTTTTATGGGAAATTCATTATACAGCCTATTTTGTAGACAATCTAATTCCCTACATAGAAAAATATAACATGTTAGGAAAATATTTTTTTTATAAGTTTATGGGGCGAAATATAACAAACGGAGAACTGAAAAAATTAAAAACCGTACAGTGTTAGTTTGTGTTGTAAAAAGTTATATAATATATGTGTATATACTAATAATGATATATACATGTTTGTAAAGCTAATGAAGTAAGGAATAAAAAAAAGTCATCAAGTTCATGGTAAAAATATTTTTTATTTATAAATAAAATAATGTTTTTGTAGCCTATTCTAGCGATTTTGTGAGAAAAAAATCATAGTATTTAGTATACAACTTTTGTACCAAATGTTTTTACTTCAAACCAACATAATCATCTTGTAGTGTAGGCCTATTCAATTACCTACATAAAAATGTATAACATGTTGGGTAAAAATTTTTGTTTTTACATGCTAGGGGCATAATAATATAAATAAACGGAAAACCTCAAAATACAACCAAAAGAAAAATACAACCTTTTATAAACACAATTTGACACTATTCAGTAAATATTCATGCATAATAAAACACATGAAGATTACTGTTATATACACATTTCTCAAAAATACGAAATAACAACAAATTTAGTTATCAATTGCGGATAAAACGAGAGCGAAAACTCACCGGCAACAACACGCAATGGCAAATACAAGGCACTTTGTGTATGAAATCTTGACAGTAGTGACACACTTTCGTCGTCTTAGTGAGAGAAACCGAAAATAACCCTGAGCGCAGGGCTGCCACTATCACAAGCTACATTTCTTCCTCTTCAAAATGACATATTATATGACTAGTAATATAACTTACCCTGTATGTAATTTGTATTTTCCATACAGTCACCTGACGACGGTTGGCCATTTGTTATAAATTTCAAAAACAGCTGTTTTCATGAAATCGTACCGGTTGTCCAATCAATATTTATTTCTAAAATATCACTACCACAATGAAGATAAAATCAATGGCTATCCAGTGGTACCACCCGCAACATCCCAAGACGAAAATTACCCGAGCAGGATAATGCCAAACAAGACGTGTTTTGCCAGTTCCCAAGGGTCGGCTGCTAAAGTCGTGCCGCGCCAAAAATTCATTTGATTTCTAATCGTCGTGACATTGTTATATATATACCTGCTACAGGGTTTGTTTATGTAATAAAACGAAAGTTCAGAATGTGATCTTTCAAATGGTATATATATTATTCTCATCTGAGTTGATTATAAGTGTTTTTTTACTGTTAAAATAATTTCGGCCCATACCGTCACCAGACGACGGCTGGCCATTCTAAGCATCAACGTCAAACTGTCACCAGACGACGGTTGGCCACTGCTAGGGTTAAGGGGGTAAAATTCAGGGGGTGAAATTACAGCCCGTACAATCTAGGTTTTATCTTTGATTTGTTCTGATTTAATTCTCAACCGCATGAAAATATAGCCTAAGTCAAATTCCACTTTTAATGTATTGATCTGATGTTGGGCAACTCAAAAGTTCACGCCCGGAATTTTACCTCATGGTTTGTGACGTCAGGTTTGCTCAGGGGGTAATGTTCCAGGGGGATAAAATTCTGATTAGGCCTAGGCCTGTATAATTCCGATAATATATTACTTAACCTAATCCCAATCCAAACAGTAAAAGAACCCTTATGGTAGCTTTAATAACCAGTATGCTAATTTAACATATTCCTAATTATTTAAGAACACTCATTTAGGAACAGTTCTGTAGAGAACCTTCAATGGGTCTGTATTACCGTACTGGATGCAATTTTTGATTGTCGATTATGTAAATCTTTACGGAAAGTAAATAAAAGAAACGTCTTGTAACACTTAAAACACCTTTTTACGCTTATACTGTTACTCACAACACGGTAAATATACAAAAAAAGATGGTAAGTTTCAATAGCCTACAGGACTCAGAACACCATGAGTAAAATACTGCATCCAAAAATAGAAGATTGTAACAAATTTGACGCTTAGGGCATCTATAAAATCAATTGTAACGATTGTGATAGATTTACACTGGACCGACTGTGAACCAACTTCGTGAACCGCTTCAAAAACCACATATCTTGGGACCATCTTTTTTGTATATTTACCGTCTTGTGAGTAACAGTATAGGCCTAAGCGTAAATATATTTTTTAAGTGTTGTAAGACGTTTCTTTTATTTACTTTACGTAAATTTAATAACACGTACAATGCTGATCAAGAAGTTATTTGGTAAATCAATTGTAAAGTAATGAGTTTGGCTAAGTTCGATATTGTTTTTTTGCCACGACTCTTTTCAAGAAGGCCTTTTACAGTACTGTACCGGTAATGTAACTAGGCCTACTTGGCTATCCAGGTGAAAGTCAAAAGTTCTAGCTGCTGTAAGATATGTTAAACATTATACAGTATTTGATTGGGTGCCGGTTAATGATAATTTACTCTCAAAAGGAATTTCAAGCAATAGGCTTATAAATTGTGTTTTAAGTTTAAAGTTATCAAATGGTACCGTAGTTAAAATGTATCAATGGACATGAATGCTAGGAAACTCATCTTTAGTTCGATTTGGTATAGCCTAGCAATTGTTTTTGTTTGTTTGTTTGATGATGTCAGATATACTTACAAGATTGGGACATCAATGTGTAGCTATTGTTAAAAACGAAACTCAGCAATCCAACTAGCTAGGCTCTATGGCATTTACTGAACAAAGTCCTTTTTATACTAAATTAGATACCGTAATACTCTTGTTTTGTTCAATCCAACTAGCTAGGCTCTATGGCATTTACTGAACAAAGTCCTTTTTATACTAAATTAGATACCGTAATACTCTTGTTTTGTTTTCAGAATGTTTCGCACACCAAAATCGGCCACCCAGTCCTCTAAAAAGAAAAGTACAAACTTTTTACCTGAGCGTGTGGTAAAGAAACCTAAACGTCAAGGACTATGTAAATATTCTCACAGAAAATGTAATCTTATGTGTCTAGAAGGTTATGACTACTGCTTGAAACACATCTTGGAAGATAATAATTCACCTTACCGACCGTGTATGTATCTTTACACGGTCAGTGGTAAAATATGCGGCAAACCTGCTCTGCGACAAGAACGAAAAGACACATGGTTAGTATTGCATACAAGAGTGATTTTATTTTAATTTAGGTTTTTTAACACGTTTGCTACCGCAATAGTACAACATTTTTAATTTATATGGACCATTGACCATTTTGCAATTGGAGTGTTTCGGTCAATATCTGTTACGTGCCTATTATAGCATGAAAAAGTCTAAGTAAATTAATAATGGATAATTTATTAACTGATAAAATTACAGGAACGATCTTAAAGTTACTCAAACCCAAACTCCAATAATGTTCATCATCTATTGTTGGTAAGCATCTCCTTATGCCTTCTAAATTAAATCATAACAAATAACAAATCTTATGGTTATACATATGTAACATAAATTAACTTTACAACAACTCCTTCCAACGTAAAATAAAAAAAAATATGTATATACAGTAGAACTCCGATTATCCGAATCAATAGGGGCCAGACCCCATTCGGATAATCAAAAATTCGGATAATCGGAGTTTTACCGGAATTCCGGGAATTTTAAAGAAAAATCCTCATTTTCGGTACTAAGTGAACTTTTAATTAATAATAATTTAAATAAGAACATTTTTACAGTTTACAATGCTCATAGTACAAGTGTTCTATACATGTTATTAAGTCAATAGTGTTCCATTGAAGTCCAAAATTGGCTAAATGTGTTTAATAACAATTCTTTGATATTTTGCAAAACTTATTACTGTAGCTTTACGTTTTTAAAATTGTTGAAATAAGCGATTCGGATAATTGGAGATTCGGTTAATTGGAGTTCGGATAATTGGAGTTCTACTGTATTGAGACAAAGGAAGGAATTTGTTTATAGATCTAATTTTGCTGGCATTCTGCAGGTTCTTTGACAGCGTCGAATGACAGCATCTGATAGTGTGCAATTGTTTGTAGTAAGAGGGATATTTGTTTGATGAACATTTAGGAGATATTGGTCTGGGCCCTGTTTCATAAAAATACTAGTCTAGTATTTACTAGTCCCTGGACTAGTAATACTAGTGTATTTTACAAGTCTACGTTTCAAAAACCTACTAGTGTAAAATACTAGTTACTAGGGTAGGGACTAGTATTACTAGTGGTTTTTACTAGTGTAGACAGCAATGTGTTTCATAAAGTTTTACTCTTGTAAATTACACTGGTAAATACTTGCCATTTTCTAACAACCTCTCTACACCCGTATTATTTGAAGTATACTAGTATTTTCGGAAAGAGAGTTATTTCCACTCACTTATTTCATTACTCACATCATTTAAAAAAATGAATTAGGCTATTAAGTTCTTTTTTGCAAGTGCGAATTGACTCACGTTTCAATTTAAGATAAAAATAGATCTGTGGGTGCTAAAATGATAATCTATATAAATAATTATTATATATAAATTACAATGAATAAATGTGGCTTGCAAAATGAGTGAAATTGAATTTTATAATGTATGTATAATCGCCCTATTAGAACTAATTAAAATTATAAGTTATCAATTTCTGTGAAATTTTAGTCTAATTTTACTTGAGTTAAATTCCATAGTTATATCAACTATCTTGCTATCACAAAGAAAAGATTTTTAAGCTTTGAGAGAAACCAAATTAAAACCGCATACCGTATTGCATACAAAAATGTATCCTTCATTGCGACATTAATCAGATTATTTTACACCCAAGGCTCTCGGTTTTTTTTAAAGACATTTTAATAGGAAATAATAGTAAGACAATTTTAAAGGGGAGTTGCATTGTATTTTTGAGGTACTTATTATTTGCTTCCCTAAATAGCTAAAACCCTGTGATGTACTAACAATTTTGTAGGCCTATATTTTATTTTTGGGCGTTGGACTGAACTGTTTATCATTAAAACATTACTTTTAATCCATTTTGGTATTCTGAATTTGTTATTCAAAGTAATAAAAAAAAATTGATGTTGATTAGAGCTGTTATTTTAATGTAAAAACATGTAAAAGTTTAATTAATGGAATAAAAAGTATAGTGAGTGGTGCGGATTTGAACCAGGGACCCGCCACATGAGAAGCGAAAACTCTCCCTCTGAACTACGCCCAGCCATAGGGCCAATGCCATGTTTTACTATACTTGAAAACCTACTTCTCCATTGCTTGTAACGGCGTTTCAATTTTTTGTTACATCAATAAACGTTTAGGCTTATTATTCATGGTTTGTAGACTCGAAATAAGAATATCACTGAATGGTTTTTAACCCAAATATTCTTATGCATTCGAATATTTGAAAACATAGGTTAGGGTACTTGAAAACGTTCCAAACAAAATGTCCTTAGACGATTTAATTACATTAAAAATTTGAGCCTTCTTTTCTTTACTCATAGCAAGCTTAATTTTATATGTCGAAATAAAACAAAAACTATACAAATCACAGCGAATGTGGCAGCAACAGATCAATTTCCACCCAACTGTTACTGTTGAGCGCCGCAACTAGGCCTACAACCGGCTACTACTACAATGACCGTGATTGTTTGCGGCGACGCTGCGCCGGCGCGTCGGCGGGCTCATTGATGAACATAAATAATAGCGTTTTGATAAATAATATGTGATTGTTTTACTTATCTGTCTATATAGTTATTAATTAAAACAAAACACTGCGTTTCTACAACTATTTACTTTTTGTATCAAATGAAAACAAAATTAAAACGCTTTATGAAGCGTCAGAAAACCCGTGATTGAGGTTAGAAATTTGTTTTGAGAGTTCACCTTGTAAAGTTGGTCACGTGACTAGTAGTTTGGGTCATCTGACTAGTAAAATTCACTAGTATATACTAGCGGTATAAAAACGTTTATGAAACACAAATTAGTAGGACAGGTAAATACGGGACTAGTATTTACTAGACTAGTAATTACTAGACTAGTATCTTTATGAAACAGGGCCCAGGTATGTGATGATGGAGATTTTGCTGCATCGTCATGTTGTAACGTTATCTCTTTAGGACGTGAATAGATTTCTCTTGGAAATTGTACAGTGATATCGTACTCTTCTTCCTCGCTTTTCAAGTGACTTGTTCTAAGGTGGTCAGTATACGCAAACCTTAAATCATTACAAATAACAAATCTTCTGGTTAAATATGTAACATAAATTTACTTTACAACAGTGCCCACAACTCTATTTTTTACAAGTACTGTACTTCTATAACAAATTGTTAGGAAGTGTAGGTGTTAAATAAAGATAAAGACACACTTTCTTTATAGTACCAGTAGGGTTTTAATTACACACCATATAAATTGAAGGAAAAAATCACACACATGGTTAAAACTCACGAGTCTATTGAGGTGAACAAAAAGCAGCAATGTCTCTCCCAGCCAGATAAGATCAGACCGACAACAATGCCGTCGTAAATACCTAGAAATGGCTGTTTGAGAAGTTTGATTGGTTAGGTTAGGTTAGAACAGTGTCATCTAACCTAACCTAACCTAACCAACCAAACCTCTACCTTCTGCCACTGGGTGTTGGTCCACCTACAGAACCAAGTGAGGGGGGCCCTAGACTAAGGTGTAATGCGATCCGTGCCAAGAGTCTTGTGGCACTGGGGGCCTAATATTCAGTGTCTTAACGGAGCCTTCTGGGAACCAGGGGTAACCCAGTCGTACACACCCCTTACCTCTCTAATCGGGTCACTGGGGAGGTGGACTTAAATACCCGGTATTCGTGAGAACAATGTAGACAGTCCGACCCAAATGGAGGAGGAAGGTCTACTGAAATCTGACGATGACGACAAGCTCGCAGAAACCGGAAAGGAACGAAAAACGACTTTCCAGGGGTGAGTTGCAAAGATGGAGGATAGCGGATGCTTTAGCCAAGGCGAAAAGGTGCTATCCAGAAGTGAGAGGAGGCTGGTGTGGGCTGCCAAGCACCCTAACTCTGCTGCCTGCAAAGCCAGTTCCTCCGGGAACTAGGATGCTGGGAAAAAGCAGAGCAAGGGTGGTACCCCCAAAGCTGACTCTAATGAAGCCTCCAGGAAGAAAGGTGGAGGCTGTGCTGACACAGCCACAAAGGATTGACTGGTCAAGCAAGTTCAAGAGCTGAGACCTTTCAGGGAAATCTCGCTATGGCTTGCCCCAGCCAGAGACCTTTTGAAAGCTGTGAAGGTATATTTATGTGCCCAACCCTACAAGGTCTGCGTATGAGATCCCTCGTACAAAAACAACTTTCCAGGGGTGAGTTGCAAAGACGGAGGATAGCGGATGCTTTAGCCAAAGGCGAAAAGGTGCTATCCAGAAGTGAGAGGAGGCTGGTGTGGGTTGCTAAGCACCCTAACTCTGCTGCCTGCAATGCCAGTTCCTCCGGGAACTAGGATGCTGGGAAAAAGCAGGGCAAGGGTGGTACCCCCAAAGCTGACTCTAATGAAGCCTCCAGGAAGAAAGGTGGAGGCTGTGCTGACGCAGCCACAAAGGATTGGCTGGTCAAGCAAGTTCAGGAGCTGAGTCCTTTCAGGGAAATCTCGCTACGGCTTGCCCCAGCCAGAGACCTTGTGAAAGCTGTGAAGGTATATTTAGGTGCCCAGCCCTGCAAGGTCTGCGTATGAGATCCCTTGGCCTATTGATGGGAGATCAAAGGGAAGAACAGGTCACCATAGTCAAGAGGCTCTCACGGTTCACCAAGGACCTGGGATTTGACGGAGAATGAGGACCTGTGAACGAGGGTGCACAATAAGCTGTTCTAGCTGCGATGCAATTCCATGGTAACCTGTAAGCCTGGCCCTCTGTTAAAAAAAAAAACCAAACTTCTCGAACGTAGACGTGTAATTGTAAAAAATAGAGTTGTGGGTACGTAACAAATTTTGACACCGGTTTCTACTCATAGACTGCGACCTCTTTTATGCAACTGCTATTCACATTAAAACAGACTTATGTCGCATATTTGCGTGGGTGTGACAATGTTATTAAAAATAATATATATGAGGTTACATTACCTTAATCGCCAAGTGATCCATGTAGTCCAAAAATAGGATTACGTATGTTTCGACGTCAGTGCGTCATTGTCAAATCTTACAAAAACTTGTCTAAACCATAAGGGTCACGTCATAGTCTTTCCGACACACACGTACAAAACACAATAACGGACAAAAATTGTGTTTTGTATGTGTGTGTGTCGGAAAGACTATGACGTGACCCTTATGGTTTAGACAAGTTTTTGTAAGATTTGACAATGACGCATTGACGTCGAAACATACGTAATCCTATTTTTGGCCTACATGGATCACTTGGCGATTAAGGTAATGTAACCTTATATAGGTATATTATATCACAGTGATTCAGAAAAAACAACATACAACATGACGTTATTAAAAAGCTTATGCCTATATCTTCGTAAAGGTCTATTTTAAGGCCATGAATTCTCTGCAGTGGTCTACAGGGATGTCTGTCGCATATGTGCTGCATATCTGCAGGGTCTTGTTCTGTAGATATGATGATTAGTGACGTAATTTGATAGTTGGCAAAACTGTTTTTACTTTGCTGCAACACTGGACTGTGGTCTGCGTGTACTGATAACTAACTGACACCCAGTCTATGTGTAATATTAAAATGTGTACCTCGGTGCGTGGCGCAGCATACTGCAGCGTCGCATACATGTGGGGATCGGTAGCAAATGTTTTAATAGAGATCCCATGACATTACCTAGATTTTTGTGCTGAAGGGCCAAAGTTAATACTGATTTTTTAAAAATCAGATCAAATTTTTTGCTAGGTAACTATTGCTTTGAAGTCTACAGTAGACTCCCTCTTATCCGGACACCTTTTAACCAGACAACGCTCAGCGGTAATGACATCTCTTTCACCGGACAATTCTTATCTGCACGTTGGTTTAACTGGACTAGATCGGCTGTACTGGGCTGTACTGAAATGACTGTTCTCGTGGGAAAGATTTGAGACCAGTGATCACAAGTCTAAATAAAATATTTAGGTTACATAACGAGTTTTTGGGGACGTTGGTTAACCAGAAAACCAGTTATCCGGACTGGCCTCGGTCCCAAGGAGTCCGGATAATAGGGAGTCTACTGTATTACCTTCTTTGTCAGTTTTGTTTTGCGATATAGCATAATGCTTTTGTTAAAAATCTATCACTTCACTTCCCAAAATATAACACAAACACTCATGTTGCATGGTATTTATTGTGTTGCTATCATTTTTGTTCTCTGTTGTTATTTTGTTCTTGTTTCTTAAAATCTATTTTATTTGCTAGTTATTTATATTGAATCATTATTTTGAGGTTTTCTATATTATTTATTGTTCTTGAAAACTTGTTGTCTACTACTTATGTACTGTATTAGTTAAGGCGGTTTCACACTGGCGTCCACAGACGATTTCTTCGTCCGCGGACAGATGCAAAAATAAATCGCTGCAAACAAAAATTATCAGATGGGACCGTTCACACCACGCATTGAAACGTAGCGTCCATCCGCGGATGCAGAAATTCGTCCGTGGATGAATGGTGGATTCGCTCCGGGAGCATTTTTCTAAAACGTCCGCGGACGTCCAAGCCTTGCGCATGCACACTGAGCACCAAAAAACTTGTAGCGCAGTGCAGCATCTGTCACTCACCTCAGTCTGGTGTATACAGTATTATAAAAATGATAATTTATGCACCATTTATATATATTATTTTCATATTTAATTATTTATTGTTGAATGGCCAACATGCATGACCAAAATGGATTATACAAGGTGTCTGTAAAGTCATTTGCCAAACTTCATAACATGGTTTATTGGGTCAAAATAAGCAAAAAACGATCCTGTGGACAAAGGTCCTATCTCGCTTCATTTACCGTCTGTCGGTACTTTTGTGTACATAAGTTCTAATAACTTTAAAACCAGTTGAAGTACCAACTTCAAACTCAGTAGTAAGTAAGGACTAACAGGTACTTTTTTTGTGGAGTGTCAAGTTTCCGTCTCTTACTATTAAAAAATGGTGGTGATTTTTGCACTTATTTTACCACATTTTTATTTAGTTTTTTTACTAACACGTTTTTACTTACAAGACTTGAGTTAAGAAATAAACATCATTGGGACAGTAAACAATGTGTATAAACATTTCAACTAACATAAATGTATTTGTTGACAAACATGAGTGGACGTTTGAAACGTAGCTCGCAATGTGAAGGGCATCCATCCGAATCATTTTATCGCCGCATTCATCATTTTATCATTTTATTATTATTTTATCGTCCGCGGACGCCAGTGTGCAACCGCCTTTATTTGTCACAAAAAAATTATGTATTTTCCTGTAAAAATGGTGCACCCGTAGCCTAAGTAAATAAATAAAAACACTGTTATAACCCCCTAACCATGTCCTAACCTAAAGGCAGGAGTCAATTTTTGTGTTGAGAGTAGTTGTGGCCTTTACATGTGCCACAGTGACTTCAGTATAAATGGGTGCTACAGTATATTTTAAACAACGGTAATCACATTACATTGGACATGCAATTGGATTGAGGTTCCATTGTATAAATCAGTTTTTCCAAAAAAATTCTGCTCTAATCATGTTGATTAATATTTTTGTGTCAGATATTAGATTAACTTTTCCATAGATCAAACATAGCTTAAAAGTTCCTTATAGACTTATCATCCTAAACTTTTAAAGCTATCTAAACAGTTTAAGCTATGAATAAAGTCTGTGATATTTTTCAAATAACTTAAGTGCATTGTACAACTTAAAATCGTGACTAAAGTTAAAGAATAGTCCACTTATAAACTATTGAATGTCTTCCGGTATTGTTACATGAAAATGTAGCTTAAAAAAGAGAACAAAAATCATAAAGTATTACCGGACATAAAAAGCATATAAAACAGGCGCTACGTTTTCACTGATAAGTTTTCTGGCTTATCCTGGTATCCATCAATGTTTTAATCTGTACCCTCTTCTCTGGTTTAGGTTTTGTGGGCCACATAATAGGAAAACTCAACTTCAGAAAACAAGAGCTTCATGTCGCCATGCCCCTCCTAAAACTCAGGAAACGTTGTTTGCCACCCTGGGACATTATGTGCCTCCAGAACAACCTGCTGTTAAGAAGGAAGTTGGAGGAGGAGATTTGGCAGAAATACAATCCAAAGTTGTTGATCCATTTGGTAAGTATTCAATCTTGTCATATCCACTTCCTACTACTTAGGACTGAGACACCAGTCATGCTTTTAGGCATGTGATTAAGGCTTAAAACTATAGTAGTATAATTCTAACACAAGATCAATTGATGAAGTAAGGTATCTATCTATATATTTAATTCCGTTAGGGAATCGGTCCCTATGAAATATCTCGAGCTAGGCAAAAGGTAGCATTGCTGTTGGGGATCCATTTATAGCGTAACGCCCAAGGACGGTGGGAAAAATATCAGTAGTGTCAAAATTACCCCTGCTCTGCCCCACAGGCCGTCTGTGATCCAGTCATTTTCTAATGGAAATACTGCCGCAGTGTTTCTACAAGCTGTTTTAAATATACCAGCTGATGTAAAGATTGGGTATTTGTTTTTTTGGCCTTCAGCTCAATTTTGTGTGTGTTTAGTGGACATAGATGCGAGCAAGGTGAACAACAAAGTCAACCAAGTGTTGGAGTACGTCAGTGAGTCGGATAGTGACGGAGAGATGGCCATGCTGGACAGTGTGTGGAGAGCGCAAGATCAGGAGTCGTCTGACGCAGAGAGTGTGGATAGTCAGAACGAAGACCCACTCAAGTAAGGGATGCCTAGCCAACAATAGAGCTAACTTTTAACGCTTAATGCGGACATTTTCCATCCCTGCCGAGTAAAAAGTATGTTTCAGGATTTACAATCTGACCCCCTTTTTATGTGGGAAGATCTGAACTCTTTAGGGCCTTTGGTTGGATTACCAGATATTTTTGGTTAAAGATTATTTTTTTTTTCATATCTCAGCCCAATTTACTTTTCTTAACATGTCCTAGACTATCCCACAAGTAAAGATACATGATTATAGATCCTTTCTGAAAAAAATTCTGAAAGTTCTATTTTACTGATCGTTCATAAACAATTAATACAATAATCCTTAAACAATATAAACTCTTAATTACCAACAATACAATATAAACAAATAAAATAAATCATAGTCGCCACTATTCAACATAAACCTGCTGCGGCAAGGTAGGGTAACATAAAAGATAATAAAAACAAACATTGTAACAATTTAAAAGCTGCTATTCAATTGATTAAGATTCTTTGCTGTCTGTAAAAGCTCAAAAATCCATTTATCTTTTTGTTTTGAATTCATTATTACAAATTACATAAAAATAACAGACAAAGTGAAAAGTGAAACTAATTAATGCTTCTCCTTATCAGGCATGCTGGAACCTACACTGCTGAAGAAGTGACTATCATTATCAAGGACAAAATGTTAAGACTGCAGTCTCTATACATTGACCAGTTCAGACGGCTCCATCACCTATTGAAGGAGAAAAGAAGAAGATATTTGCACACCCTGAAAAAAGAAAAAGAAACACTATGTAAGTTAATTTCTATTAGAGCTTTGTGTGGCCAATACGCATTATGTTATTCAAATCACTCCCACTTTTTCAATCAGTTTGAAATAGGCATATTCTACACTGTAGGCACAAAATAGAAAGAATAGGCATATTCTATACTGTAGGCACAAAATAGAAAGAGAAAGGCAAAAACTAGTTTTGCTGCGTGTTAAGCTCGTAGTGTGTGTTTACTGCAGAATAAATATAACCTCGTGCTTCTAATTTGTGTTATTATGTAGGTCTGCTTTTATTTATATTTAAAAATAATGTTAAGAAATAGAACATTTTAAATTTTACTGAGGTCTGTTGTTTTGTGTGTGAGTATTTCCATCATGGTATGTTTTAAAGTTATACTAAGACATTTTGAGATAAAATGGGGAGTCATGCTTGGAAACTATTAACAGTAAATAGTGTTCTTTTAAGTATTTTTAACCCTTTGGCCGCCGCGGTCCGATATATTGGACGTCATCTAACTGTTTCTTTCCAAAAGCCACAAATGACACACCAATCGAATCAGCATTGTCTGGGCTTCATGTAGCAAGAGGTTTGACTGCCTTTGTTAGTGTTTTTTTCTCGTGGTGGAAGAGATTTCCCCAGATGACGTCGCCTGATGTATGTCAACAATCAACATCTGTGTGATCTGTGTTTTGTAAATAACTTCTCAATACTTATAAGCTGTTCTAATGCGTTTTTAGTTAGTAAATATGACGAAACTTGGTCGAAACAAGTTGACAGTGAGTTACAGTACGACACAATATTTCATAATACACTAACTGAGAGCTGAGTCGTGTAAACTTGGCTTAAGATAAAATAGTTTACTTAACCCACTACTTTTTCTCACTCTGGATGACAACTGAACAAAGCAACATTGCAAAACTAATTCTAGTGACCAAAATGCCACTTTGTTTGACAACTGTAGTAAAATATGTTCTCAGGTAGCATCCATGACCAAGAGAAACAGACGGCTAAAGAACAGAAGTTGTATCAGAAACTCAAAGCTTTAAATCGTTACCATAAACACCACGGTGTAGAAGCAATTCTGCACAAAAAGGCTTTGGAGTTGAGGGCTCAGGTATGTATATTTCTTTTGTTTGTATAGTTAACATCTAAAGGACTTTCACAAATTTTTAATTTACTGAAAATAACTTTGTATTTAGTTGACACTCATTATTCTGACATCTTTAGGTCTTTGGCTGTGTTGGATTTATGAGTGTCATCTGAAAGTGGCCATTATTTTAAGGATAATGGAAGTGTTATTCATTTTTATATAATTTTTTTTATTGTATTAAATTAAGTATATAGACTACCTATAGTTATAAAATACATCCTGGGGTACCTCGGTAGCACCAATTTTGACAATTTTTGTTAAATGTCATTAAAAATAATTCCTTTGGTGAAATGTTAAACTTTTCAAAAGGTCTTGATTTAATTTCTAGGTGACTGAAGGGCATCAACTGCGAACTTCCCACAAAGGAAAGTGTGCTTTTACTGAAGGTGGAGTGAAGTGTGGAGCCAAGACACTTCCTGTCACCAAGTATTGCCGTAAACACATCTTGGAGGTAAGTCTGTGAAATCTAGATTCAACCCAAACAGGAGTGAAGTCGTAATGTTACTTTTTTTGCTGTCCAGCCCTTATCTCATTACTGTCTATAGTGTATCTATTTCACAGCATTGATAAATATTACCTAATGGTAAAGGATCTAGAATTGTTTTTTAATTACCAAACTGATATCAACCCATATGGGCAATCCAGTTAGTTGGGATGTCTACATCAGTATTCAAGAGTCAATATTGTAAAATCCAGGGAAAAACTATTACCTAGATAAATACTATCAAGATTTGATGAGTGTTTCGGGTGAGGGGGGGGGCAGGGTACTCTGAATCTACAGTCTTTCTCCTTTCTGGAATCTGATGAACCATACATGGGACCCAACTATCTCCATAGTTCTAGTTCTGGGCTATACTTGCATAAGCGTTTGAGCATTAGCTTCCTACTTGTACAATTGCGAGAGATTCCTTCCTAAAAATGTCGAACAACTATTGCATGTGAACAAGTTTAAAATCATCATCAATGTTAAATGTTAATGTTGTAGGACACACATCAAGTGCTGTTCAGGTCGTGTGGGGTCAAGAGAGATGACCATATCTGTAAGGAACCCACCTTGAATGTGTTTGAAAATGCTACTTGTGTCTATCACACTGTTCTACCCACTCGTGGTGAATTAGGAACGGTAAGTTAGCTTAATTCTTGCAATTTAAAGCTCTCCACTGTAAAAGTCCTATGCCAGGATGCAATATTGTTTTGTTGCGTGACCCCTTTTGTTATCTATTAGCCTGTGGAAATCATCAGAAATCATCAGAAATTCTATTAGCTAGCTAAATTCTATTCCTTTGAACCAAATCCCTAGTTTTAAAAGAGAGCGAAATTGAAAAAGTAAAGAGGGTGAGCTAAGCTCTGAGATTGTGGCAAAATTTTCATTATCTCCCGCATTAGCAGTAACATGAGTGTTTACTTGACAAACTTTGCAGATGTCTTCTGCAATTGAAATACCAAGTTATTTCAGTTAAAAAATTTAAATACTGCCATTACTGCCTGAATAACTGGAATAAATTCTTCTATCTTTGGGTCATGAAATATATTTTCTATTGACGAATCTCTTGAAATTGGAATGAATGAAAAACCATTCATTGAAAGAATATAGGAAGACGTTATCAATATGAATTGTGAATCACAGACAAAATTTTACTATTAAAATATTTTGGAATCGCGTCATTACTTAAAAATGTATTTGGCATAAAAGTGAAATATTTATTTTAACTGAAGAGTATAATTTCAACTTTGTTTGGTAAACAATTTATTTAAACAAGTTTATAGTTAGTGCCAATAGTGCATAATAATGTCTTTTTACTTATAAAAGTAAATTATTATTAATTTTAAGGGTGTAAGGGGGGGGGCTAATCTTGCAGCATTGAAAATTAGGAGCATGCAACATTAAGATGCAGTCATAATTTAGGCTTAAAACTTGTGACACATTTTGGTGCATAAAAGTTATTGCTGTTATTTAAGTTAAGTTAATTTGGTTTGATAGCATGTTAGTTTTATCTTTGTCAAATTTGGTTTCAGTTGGCTCTGAAAGAAAACCAGGCAAATGAAACTCAAGAATCTCACAACGACAGAGTTGCATTTGTGAGTGATGTCGATTCAGAAGAACTCTTAATCAAAGACATTCTAAAACCTACTGGCATTGGTTCTGGAAAATCGGATTCTGTTGATGACTTAGAACTATCAAGAACAGTTAGTGACATTTTAGCGTTAGCAGAGGCTCACTCCAATCCCACTGACTTAAATCAAATTACTGCCAAACCTTTCATTGAACAAAGTTTTGAGGCACCTTGTAATGATTTGCCAAAATCAGTTTTTGACGAAAACACTATAACTTCATCCAAAGAAATTGTTAAACAAGTTTCTGAAATAATTAATGAAACATCACTCGATGAAACTAACCAACCACTCAATAACCAAAACTTAGACACCACTTCTAGTGAAACTAGTGAACCAACTCAGCTCAGAGTCAACTCGGAGGCTAAAATCTCGTCCTCCGAAACCCCTGAATCAGTCATCGAAAAAAATGTTGATGTTTCATCAAGTAAAATTTTAGATGCAAAAGATTCTGGCCTATGTGAGAAAATGGACCTAGAAGTAGAAGAACAATCACATTCTCCAAATAAAGAGTCTTCAAAGCATGAAAGTTCGCAAGACTTGATGATGGTAGATATGATAACTGACGTGGGTGTGGTTGAAGAAGTATTAGACAATGATCTGGTAAGTGATTCAGTAGAAGTGGTTAGTTCAACACAAGAAGTAGAAGAAGAAAGTTGCAAACAGGAATCAGATCCTGATCCTCAAGGAGAAGTGAGGAGACAGCAAGTGAACGAGTCTGAACGTAAAATTATAGGACCTGAAGAGCAAGAAAAACTTCTTGGTGAACAAACGGTTGAAGAGGAAGATTCAGAAGAGAATACTAAAGGATCAAATCAGCAAAAAAGAGTGTTTGAATATCAAATAGAATCTGAACATCAATATGCGGAAATGAGTCCAGAGAAAAAGAAAGTAATAGAATCTGATAGTCAGGGTGTATGTTCGGAACATGATGCAAAATGTATTAAAGATACAGTATTTATGCCTGATGACCATTCAACCTCAATGCTTCAGACTACAAGTTTACACTCTGAAGAAAAATCCAAAGAAGAAATACCAATGGAGAAAGTAATAGAATCTGATAGTCAGGGTGTATGTTCTGAAAATAATGCACAAGGGATTGAAGATACAGTATGTATGCCTGATGACCATTCAACTTTAATACTTCAAACTACAAGTTTACACTCTAAAGAAAAAGCCGAGGAAGAAATACCAATGGAGATAGATGATGAAAGCAAAACAGAAAATGGATAAATGCATTTTACTGGAGATTCAAACCACTTAATTTTTGTTAGTATTTGATTAGTAGTTAATCATGATGTAGCTTTTGTATTGAAATATATTGTTAAGTAGCTGTTTTACAGGAAATAAAAATAAAGATGTTACTTTTTTGTAAAATTGAAACTTCTCCAAAATGTTAGGACAAAAAATGGTCATACAACAATTTTGTCTTTCTTAACATTTTCCATTGCCTATAGTTCCCTCAGTGTTTTAAAACCTGTGCTAGCAAGCAAACTTATATTTGTTTCATAGAGATTCAAACTCATTTTTTTCACTTTCTGTATATATATATATATATAAATGTAAAAATAAAACTAAAATCTATCGTCTCCCCTCATAGTTAATGATAAATTTTGACCAATAATAAAATAAATCTGCGGTTAGGCCTAATTGATTGTCCTTGTAGATGGACATGGTATACAATTTTTGTGATAAAATAAAAGTGTCTTTCACCAGAACTTGCGAATGGTTTGTTTGGTCAGACAAGTTTTGTTTACAATTTTGCAATGACATGCCTGTTTCACATGATAGTGTGTTGAATGGCAGTGATACAAATGTTTACAATAGAACAGTGCAGAATTCAAACTGCATGGTCAATTTAAGACAACCCCACTGCACCTCAGCATGGCATTCCAATTTCATGTGGCACTTAAATTTGTTTGATGTCTATGTGTTGACTTTGTGATATTGTTTTATTTATTACTAATGAGATTAACCAGGGTGTAATATTAAAATTTCAAAAGTAAAATTGTTTTTCAAACCTGATGATCACTTAATAGTAGATAGTATTCATCGTTTTGCTCTGTATACTGTAACTAAGAAAGTTCTTGATTATGTAATAGTGCCTAAAAATTGTAAATAATGTATGTTAAACATGTAGAGAAGTATAACAGACAAACATCAACTCATATCTGTCCAAAATAGTTGATAAGAGTTATCAAATAAAAAATCAATTAAGTTAAATTGGGTGTACTTTTCCTGTAATGTTTTATTAATCCCTATCCAGGCTAATTATTTGGAATACAAACTGTCTAGATAATAGAAGTCAGGAGTAAATTAAATAATCATCATATGATTAAGCCAGCATTATTCCAGGGCTATTTTAATACTCTTATATAAAAATATAATGAAACACTTCTTACAAAAAAAAGCTGAAATATTATATTCTGAATGTTCTAAAACACTGAAACTGTGCCACAAAACTTTGAAACTGTGGCAAATTCCAAGCATAGTTGAATGACACAATTATTAACATGTTGAACCTCTATGTACCAAAAGGATAACTATATCGACCCCCAGATCTCACCCGAAATTTAAAATTTGTTTTCCAAAATGTCCAAAATTTCACTCTCATTCCAACAATGGTTGTCGTTTTTCTCGGAGACCCGGAAAATAGGAAAAAACCCCGATACTTTTTTTTACAGAAAATGACATTTTGGGTACTCAAATTAACCGGTAGAGCGAGCTGAACAAGAATAATCCAAGAATTTTCAGGATCCGATGGATTTAAACAGAGATACGGCCGGAAAAGCGCCGGACAAACGAAAAAAGAAATGTGCGTAAATCTTTCATGTGGGTATTCAAATTAACGGGAAAACGAGCCGAATATGAATATGTAAGAGTTTTCAAGATCAAATGCATAATAACGGACTTACGGCCGGAAAAGCGGCGGAGAATCGAGTTAGCACCAAAATGACCAAAACTAGGTTAGGATAGGTTGGGTTAGGTTACTAACAATACCCGTGTTATTGATAACCTAACCTAATCTAATCCAACGTAATCTAACCTAACCCATCCTAGTTTTTGTCATTTTGGCGCTAACTGGATTTTCCGACGCTTTTCCGGCCGTATCTCCGTTAATATCCATTTGATCTTGAAAATTCCTGCATATTCTTGTTCAACTCGTTTTCCCGTTGTTTTGAATACCCACATTTTGAACATAATTTACGAGGATTTATTTTTTTGTTTTCCGACGCTTTTCCAGCCGTATCTATTGTAATATCCATCGGAAAATTTCTTGCATATTCTTGTGCAGCTTCCTCTACCGGTTAATTTTAGTACCCATAATGTCATTTCCCGTAAAACAAAGTTTTCGGGGGTTTCCCCAATTTTCCAGATATACGGGTCCGCGAAAAATGACAACCATTTTCGGAATCAGCGTGAAATTTCGGACATAAAAAAAAAACAATATTTCGGGTGAGGTCCTGAGGTCGATATAATTACCCCCAAGAGTAAAAAAAAAACAAAGTAATAGAACATACTTTGCATTAGAACCGACATACTGAGAAATGTGAGCATTAGGAGTACTTAGTAGCTGTGCATAGTAATGAAATTTTATGGGGGAAATAAAAACAATTTGAATAACTTTAGAACAGTTGTTTATACAGCGTGGTTGTGCCATTTTTTCAGAGTCAAAGCAACTGTAATATACTAAATTTCGATCAAAATCGTTTGAGCCGTTTTAGTGAAAACCATTTTTATGTTAATTTATGGACCTCTCTATTAAACTTTTTTAATGAAAAAAAAAACCGCTTGGATATACAATGGATCTACATACCACTTTTACATCAAAATCGGACTACAGGGTGTAGTAAGTAGTTCTGCTCACATTCACTCACCGATTTCACTTCAACAGCCACGTTTTTCGTCCTTATTACCAAACTTTATTGCCAAAATCTATCTTAAAATCTCATTATTATCAATAATCAATATTCACAAACTATTTTTTTAAATTTGTTTTAAACAATATACACAAATATAAACTAAATTCACTCACGAATCCTGAATTGAACAAATTGTCGGTCTTGCCATAGTATCTTACAATACTATTGTATACAATATTACAATAGTATACAGGGCGAATCAGACCACACGTGCACATACTTTAACGGGATATACAGTCGCTTGTGTAACCATTGACTATATACCTCTCAATATAGTCAATGTTGTAACTCTCACTGATCTGGTATGGTATACAAATGTTTACCCACTTCTAGAATAGCTAGGGATCTTAAATTTTTTGTGGAGGTACATCTCGGTCCCAAAACCGTCCTTAAATCCTCCTTTTTGAGGTAAATTCGTTTTTTTAACGGCTATAGAAAACTGTAAGAGCTAGCAAATATTTTAAAGAATTTTCAGAGTCAGGTATACAATTTTCTACAAGACACCCGCCTTTAGCGTTTTTCGAAAATCACACTCCTTCATCTTCACTTCTAAAATTTCCCAACATGGAAAGAAAAATTCCTAAAGTGACATTTTAAAATTGTAACCCATAAAAGACATTTTAAACAATGAATTTTCAGTAAAAAAGGTAGTTTTTTTACGCTTGTTGGGACAAACTGTTGTGCACGAGTGCTCTATTGGTGGGCTATTGCAAGATCACCATTAACCAATACATTTGTGTTCAAATAACAACTTTATATGTTGGGAGATGGCATAATCATTGAAGTTTTCTTGGTGTGGCGAATGTGAATATTATCATGTCTTAAAAACGGCCGAGTTTCTGCTGCCGAGCATGGCTACGTTTTTTGGTACTACTTGAATACACAAGGATCAAGCATAGGGGTTTTTATAACAGCCGTATTTAGAAAGGAAACCCCAGTGCCAGCTAAGGGAAACCAGCCCTTAGTGGTTTCAATGGAAATATGACAACGTCAGTGGAAAAACTTAATTTATTTATTGATTTCAAACAATTTAGATAGGTTTTCCTGGCTCGATTCAGCATAGCCGAATTAACTGAGAATGTGTCAATGCGTGCGCTAGTCTAAAGCCGCATTCTGGCATTCATTGAGCATCCCACCATAGACTAAGCCTTAGTCTATGATCCCACGGAGCATTTATTATGCACTAAGCTTTCCTGGTCGAATTCGGCCACTAGAAAACACCTTACTCTACTCTAGTGTGGTCAGGTGGTGCCGAAAAACGCATTTACTTGACTCTAGTGTGCTCATTTGGTGCCGAAAAACTCCTTTACTTGACTCTAGTGAGCTCAGGGGGTGCCGAAAACGCCTTTACTTGACTCTAGTGTGCTCAGATTGTACCGAAAAAACGCATTTACTTGACTCTAGTGTGCTCAGTTAGTACCGAAAAACGAATTTACTTGACTCTAGTGCGCTCAGGTTGTACCGAAAAACGAATTTACTTGACTCTAGTGCGCTCAGGTTGTACCGAAAAACGCATTTACTTGACTCTAGTGTGCTCAGGTGCTACCGAAAAACGCATTCACTTGACTCTAGTGTGCTCAGGTGCTACCGAAAAACGCATTTACTTGACTCTAGTATGCTCAGGTGGTACCGAAAGCGCAGCCGTATTCTGCCTTAACAGCGGTTTTGTACAATTTTATAGGTTATCCGACCATTCCGCTATTCTGACCTTGTTGCTGCTTCAGGTAGGCTAGCCGAAACTGTAAGCGGACATTCGGGAGATATTTTTTAATTTGTATATTGAATACTTACAATTTTAAACTATAATTTACCCAACCAGCAATAATATCAACTTCTTTGACCTGACTCTTTCAATCCACCATATTAAACTTTCCGATACTCCATCCCAAACAACGGATCAGCACAGAATCTCTCCAGTAGAAAGGAGGAGCGTCTCTAACCTTATTTTAACAAGAGATCGCGACGTCATGGAACCGGAAATTCCCGGCGTGCGAATGACAAAACACGACCCAGATGTGAACTTGACCCGGTCAGCGCAGCGTCAGTGCTGCTAGCGCTACAGGCGGAGGATGGTGTGTACTACAGTGTTGCTGGTCCTGTCATGGTCCTATGTGCCGTTGGTGGTGTTATGTTGGCCGACACCCTCACCACTTCCTCTGCTACCCCGACTGTACAACGCTACGTCTAACCTTCTACAAAGGACGTCTAGAGGTAAAAAAAGACACTTGACATACAAATAAAGTATTGATATTAGAGTACGGTTCACTATTTAGAGCAATTAAATTTTAATAATTAAATAGGTAAGAGAATCCATGAGAGGGAGAGGCATACACTTTTTAAATATTTTAATGACAGATGTATTTAAACACTAAGCTCATTGTCATTATCTAAATATACAAAATGTAAAAGAAAAAGAAAATATAATCTAGTTTTTTTAATCTAACTAAGTTCAAAGTTGTAACATACGCTATGTTTCATCGTTCATCATCTTAATTGATTTGCTCATTACTTGGGTAAAAATTTTAGTAGTTGTAAAATATTTAGGATCTTATTTTCATTTTCGTAACTTCTCTTTCACATTCGTTTTTTTATCCTTTTGTTTAAATTCCAAAATTATAACTTCTCTTATTATGCTACTAGAGTTATGTGTTAATATGTGCTTTGCATACTTCATTTTAGCGAATTTCCCATATAGGGAATAAGCTATTACCGTAGTACTCATGGTAAGACCTGGACGCGGGACCGATTTTTTTTTTCGTTTTGAGGTCCCTAGAGGCCAAAAACACCATCCGTTCAAATTCATATATATATATATATATATTTATATATTTATATATTTATATATTTATATATATATATATATATGTGTCCGTCAGCACGATAACTCAAGCAAAAATGATCCGATTTTGATGAAATTTGGTACAAACATGTAAACGTACGTTTATTCGAACGAGTTCGCGATCCAGCATGATCGGACCATGGGAACGGGGGTTTACGGGGGGTTTTATGGGGTAAAAATAGGTTTTTCCCATTTTTGACCCATAAAACATAAAATTTAGCAATTTCTTTCCGAACCATTTTGTAGAGCTTAAAAAAACAAATAATTTAGTATATTGAAGCGTTATTATGCGCCTAATGGTTACGGAGAAAACTCCAAAAAATTGTAAATTTAAAATTCCCATGTTATTCTTATGGAGAATAAGTAAACTGTTGTAGTTTGCTTATTTGTGAACATATTTTGACCAAATTTGGAAAATGTTTTTATTTCTTACTAACTATTCACATTTTACAAAAAAAAACAGTTTTACCCTCCCTGATGCAGTAAACCTAAGTACTTGTTAAACTAATTCTATTTAAATCAAGAATAAATGTTATATTTTTAAGTAGACATTTCAGTGTAAATCCAATCAGTGAAATGGAAATTCGCTTAGTCTGCAGGTTTGCTGCGGCGGGGGTATTTTAAACGTTCAGTTGTTGGATTTCACCACTTAAATACGGTACGTTATATAAATCGACATTGCATTTAAATTTAAATGTTTGTCAAAAATAAAATTAGAACAATCTTTGCGGTCAATTTTTATCTTCCGCGTGTTCTAGCGAATTTCTCAAACAGAAAATTAGCTATTACCGTCTTATGGTACAACTTAGACCCGGGACCGCTTTACTTTATAGTTTGGATGTTCCCAGAGGCTAAAAAACATAGTTCAAATTCATACCTATTAATTCGAAGGAGTTCGCGAACCAGCATGATGGGATATTGGGGTGGGTCTTTGATATGAGAATGGTGTTTGTGGTTAAAAAAGATTTGTCTAATTTTTTCTCAAAAAATGAAACTTTGTAATTTTGAATCTAATCCAATTGTACAACTTAAATAACAAATGATACACCGCATTCAAGCGTTTTTGTAGCTGCATGGCTACACATATAACTAAAACAACATCGAAACTTTAAAATTCTAATTTTATTCTTATGAAGAACTATTTTAGTTTGCTTGTTTATGGACAAATCTTGATTGGAAAATTCAATTATTTTATTCCAATCTAAAAAAAAAAAAAAAAAAAACTGTTTACTATCTTTCCTGCAGCAGCAAACCTAAGTACTTAAAAAACAAAATGTTATATAAATTGGGAAGAAATCTGAAAATTTTAAAGAAATGTTTTAGTGAAAATCGTACTAAAATTGACAATTGATAACAAAATTGATGAATAAACGAAAAATCCAAACTCACTAATACCAGATTGTGTTGCTTGGATAGAGAAAACATGTTTGGTAATTTTAAATAAAAAATAAAGCCACAAGAGATGGCATGTTGTTGCGGCTAAGTAGGGTAAAATTAATCAGCGTGGTTGCTACAGAATGGAAAAGCTGATGTGTGCAATTCACGTAGTCATTAATTTACCTCATATGAGCAAAGGTTCATCGTTCTTTTGTTCAACAATTTTCAAGCGGGCGATTCGTGGAACGTACATTTAATTTGTTATTCTATGCCAATTATACGTAATTTTAATTCATTTTTATGAATTATTGCACTGTGTATCTTTAAACCTTCAAACCTAAATGTTTAAAAGAAGCGATATTGGTTAAGACATCTTATATAAGCACTCATCGGGCTCTTTTTAAATCAACAAATAAAAATTGGAAAGCAGTAAAATGATATTTTGGCTAGTTTTTATATCGATGAATAGTTTTTATAATTAATCGGTGGTTTATATTGAAGTTAGGGTTTCTAGTTGTTAAAAGCCACAGCAACTGTTTATATTTTACAAAATATTTAGTTATAATAGGCTATTTTGTTTTTTAAGTACTTAGGTTTGCTGCTGCAGGAAAGATAGTAAAGAGTTTAAACATTTAAAAATTGCATTATAAGTAAACTTGGAATTTTCTATATTAAAGGGCAAGCATGTTTCTTATAAACCTTTTTCCTCAGCTCGTGTGCATTACAGGGAAAATCTACGCACACTGTTAGAGAGATATTTTCCTTTAGATGTGCAGAATCCCTTTATAAATTAAAATAGGGTAAAAAAAGCCCAACAAATAAATTTTAAAGAATTACCTTATTGGTTGCTATGCTGGTGACGAAATAACAACGAAATATAAACAGAAATTCAAAAGAAATTGAATAAATTCCAATCACAATATGTTATATTTCAGCTTGGGGTGAAAATAGAGAAGTAAGTACATTACATATTTTTGGTCCGAGCTGTCGACCACTGGACGACCTTTAGTTTTATATAATGCCCATAAACTATACAATGATTATTGATTACCACAATCCACAACTCATGTTTTGTTACTATAAAAAATGTACATAACGAAAACACCTTTAATAGCAAACTACTTTTGAATTGTGGCTTGCTTTTGCTACTGTTTCCTTTTTACTTATTTTTTCTTTAAACAAACAGATTGATTTACGTACATACATTATTAAACTAGTGAAAATAATAGTAAATAATTGACTCATCTGGTATGGGTAAAAGTAGTATAAATGCTTAACTATAGTTCGGCCGCTTAGAAAACGACCTGCCCGCTAATGCTAAACCATATAAGACATATTGTCAACAACCTCCAAAACCGCTTATTGTTTTTTAGACCATGTTATTTTCTGGAACACAAAATGGTCATGATATAAGATTTGTAGCACGGATTGAATGATGAAATATTCTATTTAATTTCGTCTTCAAACAAAATTTTTCTGGAGTACACCGATGAAAACCTAGTGTACAGTAAGGAATTGACGATGGTCAGATGAATAAACAAATCAATAAATTGGCCAGACATATGCAATTTAATATTTTGTTGTTTATTTATAGGTAAGAAAAATATTTAAAAATCTCAATTAAATGTAGTTATTATAATTGTAAAAACTATTATGCCGACATAACATTTTGTATACAGTTTTTATATTCAAGTATAGAATAAATAGTTGATTATTCACAAAGCTGATTAATACATTAGTAACTACTGTTTTTAGATTTGTAGGTACATACATCAAAACTCTTAATCCTGATCCTAATTTAACAATGAACACACGTGTCTTTATATTCTGAGGTAACAAAAAAACTCATTCACAAAAATTATAGTTTTAAATTCATGTCGTATTTCAAATCAAATTGTGTTTATTACAATAGGATCACAAAGCAAAGTTTATTATCAACGTAAAAAAGAAGTAGAAGAAAATAATTTAAAATTAATAAAATAAAATATATACAATTGAGTTAGCATAAAAGTTATTGACACACATCGACTGCATAGTAACGATCTTTATTTGACAATTTTTCACAAATACAGTATAGTGCCTTATTTATAATGCTATGAGGAATATGGGGAACCATTAAGTCAAATGATTATCGATTTGAAGTGACCTTAGGACTACACAATATTCATACATTTAGGAACGATTCAACAACCTTGAAAACTCGAGAGTTCAGTAACCGTACGCAAATTGAGATTCTGAGTACTGATCATTATAAATGGGCCTGGAGAAAACTGGAACCTGTCATTTATTTGGAACTCGCACCTATCAACTGATCACTTGTCAATTGAAACTTGTTTTAGTTATTTTGTTTTTCTTGCTATCTCTCTTACCATTCATTTGGTTGATAACATTTATTCCATTTTTACTAATTTTTTTCAATCACTATTGGTATTTTTTTTCGCAAGGAAACTGTTCAAATCGTGATCTTTTTAATATCTAACATAGATCTTTTGTTGATATTATCATTATTCCAATTACAAAATTTATCTGGGTCCAAAATAGATTTCGCTTGAAATCAAACCAGTGATTTCCTTCTAAGTAATTTTAATTACCTTAGTGAATATTAATTAATATTAATCTTTTAGCGAATTTCCCTATATGGAAGTAGCTATTACCGTAGGTAGCATAGTAAGACCTAGACTCGGGACCGATTTACTTTTTCATTTTGATGTTTCCAAAGGCCAAAAACACCATCCGTTCAAATTTTTATATATGTGAGGTCTTTTTATATATTATATAAGAGATCGAAATGCATAAGTCTTTAAAAATATTTAAATAAGGTACTATGGTTTATTTTTTATTAATATAAATATTAAGTCCGTAAATGCGATAACTTGAGTAATGTTTGTCCAATTTTGAAGAAATTTGGTTTAAAGGTGTAAGGTGGGATACACTTAAATGATTTCGCGAACCAGCATGATCGGGTCATGGAAACGGGGTTTTATGGGGGAAAATGGTTTTTCTAATTTTTGACCCTCAAAAATTTCTCTTCAGACCTTTTTAAAGAGCTTTAAGAAACACATAATTTAGTATTTCAAAGTGTTTATGTACGGTTATTGGTAACGGAGAAAGTTTAAAAAATTGTAAATCTAAATTTTCCATGTTATTCTTATGGGGAATATTGTAAAATTTTGTAGTTTGCTTGTTTATGGATATATTTTGACAAAACATGGAAAATTTATTTATTTTATACTATGCTATTAATTTAATAGTTTCCTCGTAGTAACCTAGGTACTCATTAAACCGAATGTTTTTTTTTAATAGATTTAATTTGAAATTAATTCAGACAAATGGAAATTCGCTTGGTCGGCAGGTTTGCTGCGGCAGGGGTATTTTAACAGTGCATGGTAAGTGCAAGTTACGCCAAGTCATATATCATTTTATGAAAAGAAGAAAATGTTCAAATAAAAACGCTTTATTAATAATTATTATTATTGGATCATTATATCTTAATTATTCAGAATATAATGAAAAAATAGTGTTTTTATTATGGAACATAGAAATAACTAGTAAAATAACCACAACACCTAGGTAACTAGTTTTTAGACCGTAAGTTTAAGAATCTAAAAACAGCAAGATGTTAGGTCAATCTCAAATAGTTACTGAAATATGAGTGGTTTTGCAAAGTACTGCATTTATCCACCCTAAAAAACTTTGGTGGGCTGTAGGGGAAAAAGCAAGGGGGTAGGGATGGGGACTTTTGGCTAGAGACTTGTCTACATGTTAGTAGTCGATGGGAAAAAAATCCACCCTGATGGTATTTTTTTGTCGATTTTAGGAACAGATCTACAGTATTGGATTATGAGGGGTGTATACACATTAATCGAAAAGAGTATTTATCCAATTAATTGTTTGAATTGCATTTTTTAAATCAATGGCTTATTATTAAGGCATCATATATACGTACAAGATAATCAAATAAAAATGTATACTATTAAGTCGATGTTTACCAATTAATTTTTTTGTAAACTCATTATTGTCTTCTATTTTTTGTGTTGGGGATAAACTGGTCTGATTTGCTATTTTTATAAACACAAGTTGATTTAAAATATGTCATGAATTTTCACTTTGATTATTTTTAACAACTTTTGTTGAATTTTATTTCCTAAGTCTATACAGGGTGTTCATAAAGGGGTGTCACAAACTTCATAAAAAAAGTTACTATAAACATAGGTCAAAAAATTGCGTTTAGTCCCTAGCCGCCATTTTGTACTTGTATTTATATCTCAAGAATTATTCAAGTTACGGAAAACAAACTTTGAACTTACATTTATTGTGTCGAGAGACAATAAAAAAATAGTGTGATTGCATTTTAAATCAACAAAATTTTGGCCATTCAAAATCCTTAGACTAAAATTCCTAAAGAATGGATACCAAGTTCAAAAAGATCGATTGAAGAATACCTGAAATATCATGATTTTTAGTTGCAAAATGGGACAAACCTGACTAGCTTAGCCTCATTTTATCCCATTTTACAACTAAAAATAGTAATATTTCAGCTATTCGATCTTTTTGAACTTGGTATCTTTTGATAGGGAATTAACAATAAAAAATAAAAGTGTTCCTGTTTTTTATTATTTTTTTTATTATTTTTTTAGTTTTTGAAAGTTGTGACACCCCTTTATGAACACCCTGTAGATTACACGGCACACTTAAGTGTATAACAAAAGTAAGCTTGGTAGGCGAGTGTTTACCAGAAATCAGATCGTCACCTTGAAATCAGTTGATTCGATCCCAAAATTAATTAAGGAGCTTGGTAAATCTGCTAGTTTTATTAGTTTTAAGTGATTTTACTCTAGTTTTGTTGCAGTAGGGTTTGTATATTGATTATTTGTTGTTGCACTATAGTTAATTGTTGTATTTTGTTTCAGTGCTCAACTTCTTCCCCGTACCTGTCAGCGAAGAATGTCTAGCAGACGACGGCCGAAGATCAGGTACGGTAACGTCAGTAAAAGCATAGACTGACTCTGACAGCAGTACTGTAGTTAGCATAAGGTCTGGCGTCCACCGCTTGGAGCGCAGTGTAGTTACGTATCTCGTGCGCCGCAACTAAACGGCGTCCCTAGCGGTGGACGCCAGAACTTAAGCTAACTGCAGCACTGCTGTCAGTGTATATTTAATTCCATATGTCTATTGTAAAAGTCTTAAAATGTTCACATAGTTTATTTCGAACTAGATTAATAACATGGGATGATATTGCGCTCAAGTTCATTTTGTCTTTTATCGGTGGAAATCAGTCGATTTAAATAAATGAATAATTATTCGTGATGTCATATTAGATGGTTTACATATCTACATAAGTAAATTAATGCTGATAAATAGCAGGTTACTGCAGGTTAATAGCAGGTTAATAGGTTACTAATTAATTATTAGAAGACGAAATGAGCTGATACTGACTGAAGTCAGACATTTAAAATCGCAAGGAAATCACTCTAAAGACTAACATGAAAACCCTAAACATGAAAAAACAATAGGGGATGTTTCGAATATTTAATTATTTCATTTCATTTCGAATATATATCTTTGGGAAACGGCCATTGAAAAAATGGTACACACCCGAAAAGTCTGATAGTATTTTTATTAGTTGGATAACGCCATCGCGGTTATCTCTTGGTCATCAAGGTTAGGCAGTCTACTTCAGGAGGTCAGGTGAGAGCACATTTTATTGGACTCAAATGTGTTTCGACTTGCAGGAACCTGCATGAACACGTACGAGTGCCGGATACAAAATGGCCAATCCCACGGACCATGTGCGTTGGGCTTTGGTGTCTGCTGTGTCTGTAAGTAGAACGTTTCCAGTAACTAGAATATTTATAACCCAGAAACAACGTAGTTTTGTAGTTAAACAACTACAATGTAGCTTCAGTTTTAAGAATTTCCTTTCAATTTACAGTGTTTTTCAAAATACGAGTGTTGTTGTCTTTTGCAAAGCTTGACTATGAAATAATGTTTAAGTACTCTTACTCCTTAATTGCATATTGTACGTATTGTGTCCATCTAGAGAACGATGTGCTTCATCTAATTTAAAGAAATATAACATGTGCAATAAGGTACTGTAGTGGTTTTACAATAAGAGCAGAAAATGAAGTTTTGCAGGCTCAAGATCGTTTATTGAGCTCAAAATACAGCAAAGAACTTGAATATATCGAATGTTTATATCCTCTGAGGTACAAACATGGGTTTCCCTCACTAGAAAATAGAGGATAAATTCTGCCAAATATTTACAGAGAAAATTCTATAAAATTTTAAATTCCCATGTTATTATTAAGTTATGTAGTGAACTGTAGTTAGTAAACGGATTTACTGTATTTTGATCAAATTTGGTAATTTTTTATACCAAGATATTAACATTTTGCCAAACAAATTTATAACATTCATTGTATCAGGAAACCTAAATACTCTAAATACTCATTAAACGTTATGTTGATAGGGAATAAATCTGATTTGCCAAGGAAATATTTTTGTGACAATCCAATCAGGTGAATGGAAATTCGCTTGGTCCACACTTTTATAAAAATTCTCTCTAACAGCATAAACATTTAGCTCAAACATTTAGCTCATAACACCTTTTGGTTTCAGTCACGGCAACGTGTGGGGACGAGATAGTGAACAACATCACCTACTTCATGAGTCCAGACTTCCCTAGTCTGACCAGAGCCAACCAGACTTGCTCGGTCAAGGTGAAGAAAATGGACGCAGAGATCAGCCAGATACGACTAGACTTTGTGCATTTCAACCTGGTACGGTCTAAACTGTAGCAACTAACAATGTGTAAACACTGAATAGAAAGTAGTTAGAATACACAAATTATCGATGACATTTCGTTTTTGGTTTCTCAATTTTGGAAATTAAGGATAGTTCACCTTTAGCAAGTTTCTTTTCGGAGATATTATTTCACCAGTGAATGTCAAATGTTCCTAGTTGTACTGTATTATGCACCTACACTAAATTGCAATACGGTAGTCGTCTTCCACTTAAGACAGTATGTGAATCAGTAACTCTTCAATATCAATGCGGTTTGCGACCTAGTTAAGGCACATTTTAAAATCATTCTAAATATTGGCGTTTAGTAGGCAGTTGTAGAGCCCTAGGGAGAAAAGGGCTGCTTTTATAAAAAACGCACGTATAAAAAATGGGCATTCCTGCTGCAATGGAAGAAAATACTTTTTATGATCACTAATATATACAGGGTGTCCAGCTTCAACTAGGACAAACTCCAGCAAATAGTCCTATGTGCCAAAATAAAGAGAAACTCAATAATGCAACTTTTCCAAAACCACTTTATCAACCGGTTATCCTCTATTTTGTGCTTTTTACATTAACAACAAACGACACCAAGTTAATAAAGATCGGGTAAAAACTAGCTGAGAAATTACAATTTATGTTGTAAAACTAGGTAGAATAAGGCCTAGTCAGATTGCACCTTATTTTCCTAGAATCGTCATATTTCGGCTATTTTTTATTTAATCTTTTTGATCCTGATAAACATGTTTATGTAAAACGCAAAATGTCAGATATCTGGTTGACAAAGCGATTTTGGAAAACGTTTCATCCTCGATTTTCTCTCCATTTTGACCCATACAACCATTTCTTGGAGTTGTCCTAGCTGTATAGTTATATTTCCTCCTTAATATATTTTCTTTATGGTGTGTTTAGCTTGTTTTCGGCTTGTTTTGTTTATCACCACTGTTGTAATCGCAGGGTCAGCCAAACAGACAGACCGGTGTGTGTGATACAGACGTGTTCTACATGTTGGGCGGACAAGGCCGATCAATGTCCATCTGTGGTCAGAACAGTGGTCAACACGGTAAGATAACATACAAGTATCTACACTAATACTGTACAGGACGTACACCATCGTCAATGCAAGTAGGCATGCCTGTACAATCCCGTTGAATCTTAGGTCGTGCATTAATTGCGCCAAAGAGTTCGTTAATTGCGCCAAGCCCTCAATCCCAAAAATGTTGCGCCAAGCCCAAGTCAGGTAGGGGTGAGTTTCCGGAAGAGGGAATGTCCTTGTTTACGTGTCATCCTAACCTAACCTAACATAACCTAACCTACTCAATTATACAGTCAAATCGGGTGGCTCCCTGGAGAAGTTGGTGCAATTCAATACCCGACTACCTAACTCAGGTCCGTTGGCGCAATTAATGCCCGCCCGAATCTTACTCTTATAGAGATGACTGTTGAATTTCCCAGGATGGCAGTTAGTTGTTGAATTTTAATTCTCCCCAAAGATGGTTGAGACGCATCCGAAACATCGACCGACGTCTTCTTAAAGGTCGATGGCTGTAAAGGCCCGGGTCAGTCCTAGCTAGACGAGGCTCAGGAGATAGGCTCCATCTTACAGACTACAGTATAGTATAGTCATTTCCCGAAGACCAAGCTGCGATCGGTATGTCTACTTATAGATAGTTTAAAATCACCTTAAATATTTAATTTCTTGTAACTTTTTACTTATATAACAGTATTTAATTTTTCAATAGTTTATAAACGCTGATTACATGATAATTATGAACCCACTGATTTTTAAACCACAAAGTATCCGCACTAGCATAAACCTGAGTAATTAGACTCCTAACCCAAATAAACTCTACCAATTGTCTGTGTTCATTGCAGTATACAGTTGTATACTGTAAATGGAAACATGCAATGAAGCCACCGATAACCTGTGGAACTAAAGGTTTCAGTTTAATTGTTTGTTTAAACTTGTATGCCTTTGTTGATGAGAAAGCCTGTCATTAAAAGCAGTAACCACAATTATTTGTTTTCCCTAGTTACTACATTGGGTGGAAATCAATATATCATTTTGTTTGGACAGCTACTAGTGGTTTTGGTCAAGACAAATTCTATTTATGCTACAGTACAAATTAATGGCTAGTTGCTATAGTTGATTGGAGGACTTTGGATTTTTGCGTTTTAACACAATCCTCCAATTTGCTATTAGTTTTACTAGGAAACAGTGCAAACACGAGTAGAGTTCCATAGAGGACCTGCGAATATTTTCGGCTTAAATATCAATATTTATCAATTATAATTTGTTTTGTATTAATATTGCATCTCATTTAGTTTTAAAATATAACTACCAACCAGCGCCACTTGCTTCAAAATAAGCATCCCGATTGTTGTACTTGACATATACAGTAGTTGATATAAAGGTGAACACAATAGTATGTTTTCTGTGCTTCGAGGCATCTTAGGAAAATAAAATTACAATGAATACTAATTAAATTCAATAAAAACACAATATACAGAGTGTCCCGGAACGCTCTACCAATATTTTAGGGCATTGCTCCTGGGTAAGAAACATACCTAAATATCATATTTAAATTGTCCGGAAGTCCTAAGTAACTCACACAGCCGCCATTTCGTTTTTTAGTTATTATTTTTTTTCTAAAGAATGGTTAAACATATGAAATTGAAACTTTGCACAAACATTTATGACAACTAGACAAAGCTAAAAAAAAATTATGAAGATTTTTCAAATTCATAAAACAAAATGGCGGTCATTTAAAATTTTTATAAAATCAACGGTGTTTGAGCTATTTCAGAAACACAATTTTAAATGACCGCCATTTTGTTTTATGAATATGAAAAATCGTCATAATTTTTTTGTAGCTTTTTCTAGTTGTCATAAATGTTTGTGCAAAGTTTCCATTTTGTATGTTTAACCATTCCTTAGAAAAAAATTAATAACTGAAAAAAACGAAATGGCGGCTGTGTGAGTTACTTAGGACTTCCGGACAATTTAAATATGATATTTAGGTATGTTTCTTACCCAGGAGCAATGCCCTAAAATATTGGTAGAGAGTTCCGGGACACCCTGTATATAACGTAAGTAATTTTCTTCTTTACATTTTAGACAAATAACATTACAATATTTTACTCGAATTCCCTGAACATACCATGAAAACACAAAATCCTCCAACAACACAATATCTATAACTTAAGTAATTTTCTTCTTTATATAAAAAATATTACATAATTTTACTTGAATTTACTGAAACATCACCAACTACTACAGATAACCTTATTTTCGTATGGATCCATACCAGATTTTATTATGGCCATCTGTTTTGATAAAAACAAATGTAAACTTGAAAAAGTTCAGATGATTGACAACAGAATTCAGCAAAAACTATGAAATTTTAAAAGCCTATAGGACGAAGGGATTTCACAGGGTATAATCCAAACCCGCAAAAGACACATCTAGAGCATAAGAGTTTATAATTGATACCCAATATGCAAAAAAAAAATAAGTCAAGAGAGTAAATAATAAAGTAAATAAGTAAAGAGTAAATAAGTCAAATAAGTCTTAAAATTGCATCCACATTCCATTAAGACCATAAAATACACAGTTTTCCACTTTTCAAGTTTGCCGCCATTTTGGAAAATGGCCGCCATTTTTAAATAATAGAATTAATATTTTTATCGAATTTTATGGACTTTTTGGAATGTGGATGCAATTTTAAGACATATTTGACTTATTTACTCTTCGCATTTTCGCTATAAACCTACTTAGGAGCTGCATGATGTAAAATGTATACCAGAAGTCATTTTTCCATAGGCTGTAACTCCTAAACAAGTGGGAAAATCATATTTTAACTGCCACAAAAAATAAAGGAATGTCCCCCATTTACATTTTTCTCTAATTCTTACCGTTTCCGATATCCCAATGGTGGCCTCCTTGAGTATAACGATATCTAAACCGATAATATATTACAGGTTCTCTGCGTAACTGTACCCCCAAACCCTAGCCTTGTTACCATCCAACTCCATACTTTTGTTAGGTACAAGTACTGTAGAGTTTTGATTATGATCAAAAACAGTCGTGGCAACGTCGAATAGTCAGAAAATTAATGCTAATGAAAACCATTAACATGTAAAAAATGTTGACATGATTATTTTATTATTTCGACATTCGAGACTCTATACTGTAGCATAATTAATTGCTGGTCCAATAGTAAAACGCATCTATTTTTGGAATCAACCTAGAATCGGAAACAATATCCCGATCCTATATCGAGGTAAAATGTGATTATAAGGTAGTTATGCTGCTATTGTGATGTACATCATACGATCTTTCGATACTAGACATCCCATTTACATGGACTAGTTGTAGCAATATTAGTGTTCAAATTGACAGTTGAAATAGCCTTTCACAAGCGTGTTCTACTATTAAAATTCCGTTTTCTATTGGACATCGATACGATAATTTTTATACCATAAGATGTTTTGGTTTGTTTTAGGCTTTCATACTTAGTCCTAATGTTACTTAGTTAAAAAGTTAAATCACTGAAATCAGAAATCGAAAGCTGCAAAAGTTGTCAGAGGTTTAGTTATTTTACCTACGACCGTTTTTAAAAGTAGCCGTTTGCGTTTCAGTTCAGTTCTTGGAATTGAAAAGTTTCACATAAAAGCACTTTTTACTTTCATAACAGCATAGTTTTACTCATAACACCACAAGTAACGGACCAATCAAATTGTAATACTTTATATACTTTTCGATTTGAACTTCAACTAATCAGCTGTTCAAGCCAATTTAATTGTTGAGTGGTGCAATTAGTGTTTGGTACAATGCTTCGTTGCAACACTGTCAGTGGCAATGAGAGGTTATAAACGAAAACATAACCTCTCTTAGAAGTTATGAGTAGTGATTGTTAGTAATTAAAACACTGTCACAGGGTAGAGTAGTGTACGCAACCCGCGTAAATAGTGTTAACGAAACGAGTAATTTAAGGTACGAGCCTTTTATATCGTAGTGTGTATTGTAAAACTAACATAGGCTGCTTCTTATTCATAGGTTCTCCCCATAGATAGTAAACTGATTAATTGTGTTCATATGTCTAAAAGCATTACGGTTTACTGTAAAATAAATAATAGGGTAACCAAAGCCTTATGATTTTTATCGAAATTTATATTTTTAATATAAATAATGTTCATTATTATCATTATGTCATGGGGACGCCACCTAGGTGAAAAATATGAGCGAAGAATGAGTGTAAACGGTAGTAGTTATGAAAATAGATTGTAACTTTTGGGAACGTCAATTTATGACTTATATCACAATTTTATGTCTTAATCGTATCGAAAATGTGTGTGTAGCCAAGAGGTTATAGTGCAGTCAAAATTTGGACATTAGATTAACAGGACTACGTGTTCAAACTTTCCTGGCATAAATAACAAGACAAAAATAAAATAAAATGATTGTTTATAATCCTTTTTAAGTTAAGTCATCAGTGAATTGCTATATTTATGTTCTATGAATAAAAACAAATCTTGAACTTCACAAGAATACATGTATATAATGTAGAATTAAAAAGACACAATACAACTGCCTGGTCAAACATGTATTGTAATACCAAAACGGAAGATAACTTTAAGCTTTAACAAATACTTAAGTTAAAATTGAGTTATTACACCATCACCAAACATTTATCATTTTTTTATTACAGCAAATTTTGAGACCAAAAGGAATAATGTTGCCTATAAAAGGGAGGTCCTAGTAATCACAAGAAATCATGTTTATATTCTGTTTTTGGTCTCTTTATATTATTTATCAGAAATACCAAACTGGTATTAGACTAAGAAACAACTTTATATTACTTAAATGCTACGAGTATTTCGTTCGTGAATGATTTTCCTTATTGAAGTAAATTTCCCGATATTATTGTTTAACAAAAACAAAGACAAAAAGAAAATAAAATGATTTCTTTAAAATCCTTTTTAAATTAATTTTATCCTTTTAAGATCTTTTGCTGTTTTATTGCTAGGAGGATCCTTTTAGAAAGTAGTTTGCTCGAATTGCACATTCAGAAAACCTTCCGTGCAGAATCTTCGTAGGCAATATGGTAGCTAGTCAATAATTAAAGTCACTTATGCTTATGGAACTAACAAGTTTATTTCCCCGTGTTTCAGTGTATTACGAAGTGGACAACAACTCAGACACTGTAGAACTCGTGATGAACCTCACTGCAGCAAACCTGTTTCGCCTCTGGGAAGTTAGGGCAAGTAATTAGAATAATTTAATTAGCGACTAATTTCAATCTTCAATAAACATATGATTGTATGTATCTGTAAATGCTAACGACTCTGTTTGGAAATTAAAAACCTATTTTACAGATTTCTTTTGGCAAGCTGTAATTAATTATTATTTTTGATATTCACATTAACTTATTTGCAGATTTCTCAAATTGAATTTGGAAACAGAGTTCCTGCAGGGTGTTCTCAGTTCTACCAAGGAAAATCAGGTATGTGGCGTCAAATAGTTCCAGTTTTACTATTTTAGAAATGGTTTTACTATTTTTGGAATAGTTATTTTCTGTAAAAAAAATTGAAACGAAATATTTGTCATTAGTAACCACCAAGTTAGCTCAACACATCTCTATTAACGGCCTTACTTTTTAAATATAAAACTAGTTGCTCTGCCCGTGCTTCGCTTCGGGGTGAGAATGCAGAACAGAATAATTCGGTTTTATTTTAAGATACTATAATATACTATGAGAAACAGTTACAACACACTTACCAGGAAACATATAGGCAAAGGCTCAATCCTGCTTATTGATTATTTAGATTAAGATATCTTAATGTATTACAGTACTATAATTTTATATAGTGTATAGCATTTAAAATATATGCAAAAGTATAATTCATTGACCACATGGCACCAAGAAACAATTCTCCTTTGTAAACAAATTAAATTAAATAGCAGAATAACAGCATTTCTGACAACAGCTGGAGTTTCATAACAATGTTTGTTTCCCATGATAATCTTATGGAGAAATACGAAACTTTAAAGGGCCCCAGGGCCTCACTCTCTAATTATTTCATTATAAAAAAAGTTTCCTGCACAACTTCACGTTACGCTCTTTCCAATGACACCAAAAACATGTCAATCGGTTCAGTAGTTTCGGAGGAGTAATTGTCACAAAAAATCTGCTTGCGTATTAAATAAGTACTAGAGGTCGTCCAGTGGTCGAAACTCGACCAAAGATTTGTAATGTACAGACTTCTCTATTTTCACCCCATACTGTAAATAAAACATGTGATTGGAGTTTCTTCAATTTGTTTTGATTTTTCTGTTTATATTTCGTTGTTATTTCGTCACCAGCATAGAAACCCATAAAGCCCATGTTAATTTTTTTCAAATTTCAAATTCTTTTTTTGTGCTTATTTCTGAGCCTATTTTAATTTTTAAAGGAATCCTGCACACCTACAGAAAAATATCTTTCTAACAGTATTCGAAGATTTTTCCTGCGATGCACATGAGCTGAGAAAAAAGGTTTTAAAAAAACATGCTTGCCTATTAATATATAGATAGATATATAGATTGTACCAAACCTTATGAAATGAAACAGTTAATTATCTTATAGTTAGTTTATAGTTAGTTATCTTATGAAACCTTTATCACATTTTTCTCTTATACCAAACCTATAGTCTAAATACTCTTAAATAATGAAAGTTCATAATCACCTTATCAAAAAGAATACCCAAAAAGTCAGCTAGCAAAAAACAACGCCAGGACCACATAAGGGACGCACCAGCCAGGGCTATACGATATTTTACGTCAAAAACAAGGGAAATCATTTTTATGGAAAGAAGGAAGAGAATCTGCTGAAGTCGGTAGACAGTTCCAAAAAGCCTTGGAATATACTTGACGAGGCATGCCAAGATAATTGTGGAAGAAAAATAATTATTGAACTATTAAGTCACGTTAAAAATACTTTTGCCAAGCTATTCTGTGATATGAAAAATGTACAACACTATTGTTTAGCCTTTGATAGTTTTGTTTTTAGCGAATTTCCCATATAGGGAATAAGCTATTACCGTAGTACTCATGGTAAGACCTGGACCCGGGACCGATTTTTTTTCGTTTTGAGGTCCCTACAGGCCAAAAACACCACCCGTTCAAATTCATATATATATATATATATATATATATATATATATATATATATATAATAAGTATGGTTGTGATTAGGGCTACTACTATATTAATAATTGGAAACATAATAACATTAAGTACTCTTTTAAATTCATTTGTATTAAGAAACATGTCGTTTCTTAATTAAAATGAATTTAAAAGGGTACTTAATGTTATTATGTTTCCAATTATTAATATATATATATATATTTATTTATATATGTGCCCGTTAGCGCGATAACTCGAGCAAAAACCATCCGATTTTGATGAAATTTGGTACAAACATGTAAACCTACGTTTATTCGAACGAGTTCGCGAACCAGCATGATCGGACCATGGGAACGGGGGTTTATGGGGGGTTTTATGGGGTAAAAATGGGGTTTTCCCATTTTTGACTCATAATACATAAAATTTTGCAATTTCTTTCCAAACTATTTTGTAGAGCTTAAAAAAACAAATAATTTAGTATATTGAAGCGTCATAATGCACCTAATGGTTACGGAGAAAATTCCAAAAATTTTAAATTTAAAATTCCCATGTTATTCTTATGGAGATAAGTAAACTGTTGTAGTTTGCTTGTTTACTGTATTAACATATTTTGCCCAAATTTTGAGAATGTTTTTATTTCTTACTAACTATTAACATTTTACATAAAAAAAAACACTTTTACCCTCCCTGTTGCAGCAAACTTAAGTAAGTGTTAAATAAATTCTATTTAAATAAGGAATGTGATATTTTTAAGGAGACATTTTAGTGTAAATCCAATCAGGCAAATGGAAATTCGCTTAGTCTGCAGGTTTGCTGTGGCAGGGGTATATTAATATTTTTTTTATTCGGTGAATAAATAAACCCCTGCCCTGACGCACAATTCTAACGCATAATTATGTTTCATTTCTGCTGTGTCCAAGGAAAAACTGCAATTCTGACCTGAAATACAAAACTAGAAAATCCTGTATCTTAATTTACTCGAGGTAAAGTTATGTCTTGCATTGTTGATTCACTTTACAGTTGTAAAAATAATGTTATATTTTTTTCAGGAATTATACAAACAATGAACTACGCAATCAACGGACGCCATCTTGCTAACCAAGACTACAATATATGCGTCCGGTCAGAGGAAAGTGAGTTAATAAGTTATTCTCTTTTATAATTAATTATCTTTTATTAAGGAATTTAATTTAAATTACGTCTCGAATGTTGTAATACCACCATTCTAAAATAATGAGATAGTTTGAATTGATAATAATTATTTTAGTATAAATGTTAACCTTTTTTACACTGCTTATAGGGTATGGTTGGAAATGCAATTTTGTTAAGTTAATTTCCTGTTTAACAGTATCTTTTTTCTGATCCTAGACGTTTGTTCCATTGTATACGAACCTTGTGATGACAACTCCTTTAAAATTGGACCTTCCATATTGAGCAACGACATTGGAACTGGAGGGATGAGCCCGGCGATCTTCGCAGGTAAACATTGAAACAAATTCGTGAAAAAGTGCATACAACAATCACTGCCAAAATGATGCATGCTCTTCAAAATAAATATTTGATTATTGGAGGAAAACTTAAATTGATGGGAATGTAAAACTTGTTGGTTGTTACAATGAGTATTAACAGATAACGAATAAATAAATACGGTAGGAAATTAAAATTCGGTTAAAATAAATTCATAAGTGAGTTTCAGTTACAACTGTTTTTTAGATTGATTCAAGTTAGGAGTAAACCAAACAAAAATTCTCATCACTACAAAAAAAATAAGATTCGTTCTAGGAACGAAATAAGAACCAGTTTTTGATATCGTAGTCAGAAATCATACTCTTAAATTTGGTTTATAGTTTTACGATTTTATCCTTTAGTTGTTCTTTGATACACCTACTGTATCTATAATCTATTTATATATGTTAATGATAGATTGTAAGATTGATGAGATTAGACTTCCCATGTAATGTAAAAATTTGAATAAAAAAAACGTGGTGCAATCTGTTGAGATGGTCGCCTACTAATGACAATTCTGTGTTAAGTGATAAATCAATCAGCTGTTTGCTATAATACTGCCTTGGTTTTAATTAATACAAGATGTCCCTCCCGTGTGCCCCACCGCTGATATAGGCACCCCCAAACGTAAACACAACTGAACACGATTTCATAAAAGGATGGTTTGTCTAATTGCAGTATCCTAGGTCAATGTTGACGTTGTGTTCAATCTATGTCATCCATCTGTTTATCTTTGTATAAAACCCGGCTGAGGTTGTGGTGGTAATTTAAAATTGTGATTCCTGATTATTCTTGATCTTCTTTTTATGACATCAATATTTCCGGGCCTAATCCAAACAAAGTTAAAGCAGACAAACATTAATTGTAAACAAAAAGCTACCATGAAGAATTAAAACATGTGAACATTGTTAATTTTCTATTCTTTCCTTGAAAAGTGGAGCAGTAAAATAATTTGCATTTATCCTTTTCATTAAGACTCGTGTACAGAGCCTCGATTTGTACTGTGGTTTAATTAATTATGGTCTAAACTATTTTAAACTGTGGTCTAATTATCTCTACTAATCTTACTTATTTCCTATAATCAATGACAAAATAAGAGTAAATTAAATAACCTCATAGTTTCATAGTTTATATTTAACCAGCTGTTGGTTAAAACAAATTATATTGCTCTAAAACAAATCGAAGATTACAAAGATTGCTTTAAAAAATAATTTGAACATCCTAGTATTTTACTATGTATATTTAATTAATCTGTCATCCTCTTACAGAAGAATTGAACGTTTAAATTATTAGCATTACACATAGTATAAATAAGTCAACCCTAAGTATGTCTTTACATTTTTATCCAAATGCTGAATTTGTGACACAAAAGCTGAATGTTTACATCTGTTATGTTAAGCATATTATTTTATGCTAAAAGCTAGTTTAGAATCTTAGCGTCGGCTGCTAGACTTTTTTAAAATTAAAACTTAATTTCTAAAAAACTGGGACCCTAAACTAAAATTATGGCTTCGACATTCCCTAGTTCTCAAAATTATCTTTCTTTCAACACAAAAATCATGAAAATCCGTCGAGTGGTTGATTCAGAATCGTGAAATAAAAAAACACTGTTTCGTTTTAATATTATATAGATTTAACCATAGACTAACCAACTTTAACCCAATTCACTAGTAAACTCTGGTGAGATGGTCCTGAACTTCATCTATTTTCTTGGCTTCAAACTTTCATATGAAATGGGAAGTCTATTTTACTTAATAAAAGATATGAAAAACAATGGATGGTTTATTAACATGGTTGAGAACGAAACTGATTAAAAGAAAACAAGTAATATAAATAGATCATAACAATTAATAAAACATATGTTTTTATCTTAAAATGGCAGGAAGTAGAGAGTATACCTAACAATATATAACACAATAAGGGGTTTTCTCCGTAATATCCCTTTTTTTAGCTTTTATTAATTTATTTTAACATCCTTATTAGTTCATTTAGCGTTAATATACATAGAATAGACAGTTGTTCTTGCTTTACAATATTTATTTGGTTTTCTTTATTGAGTACACTGGTTGATTTACAAGCCAGTACCAAAGTTCCTTTTTCCTTTTAGGTTTTTCATGTGCTGTAAGGGAGAATTTAGCATTTTGCAGTCAATATAATGGTATATTACCCTACGGAATTTTGTGTTGAAATGAAAGGAAGTTTGTTGTCTCTAGCTGCTGTAGTATGGTGCTTGTCGGAATCCTGATTCCTAGGAAGATGCTTGCTTGTGTACAGACGTTCATGAATGTAGAGAGCTGGAATTGTTATTAACTCTCTAGTAAATGTATTGGAAATTTCTAAAACCCCTTTAAACCTGTGCCAAAAATCATAATTGAAAGACACACTCAAGCTAAAAGTAAAACATGTCTACAAGAGATTTCATTGTAGATCCTGTTGGGTCCGGGGCTGGACCTCTCCCCCTGAGTGACTCCATGGCAGCAGCAGCTCAGGGTTGTAACGACAGGGTCATCATGCCTTGTGACAGCGAGGACTTTCTGACGGTAAGTTGAGGTGGGTTTACCTAGCTCCGCATTTTGTGCGGAGCGCTCTGCGTACTGTAGACCTCTCTCCGCACAACGCAATGCGTTGCACGGTTGTGTTTTCCTAGCTCTCAGCAATGCGCTGCAAAGGTAGCAGTTGTTTGCTAACAAGTAAGTGAACATGAACTCTTGTCCTCTGAGTAGGAAAAATAGCGTTGTTGATGTTATAAGAAGAAGAAAGACGATATTGTTGGCACCAAGTTCTTCTTGTCAGTGTTTTTAAACTGCTTATCGGCCATATTCCACAAAATTCTATGACCACCGGCTCGATAAGTCGTTGCATCACTACGGTAGAAAAGGGGAAAACGGAAAACCAATCATAACCAATACATTCTCTCTTTGCTCCCTTTCACCTATCAAATCGTTTTATCTTGCCTCTCATCGTCTTGTTTGTTGGTGATATTGTTTTTAATTTTAATTCCAGAGTCATTTTCGTGACATTCAGGGTGAACTGAAAGTAGGTGCAATCGATTTTGAATATGTTTATGAGTCAAAATAAAATGAAAATACTTACAGGACAATCTATGTAATACAATAAATATTGGACTTGCTGACATGTGTTTATGAAAGAACATAAACTAATTTTTAAATACAAAAGTCCTATTGCTGACTTAATCGAGTACAAAAGCAAAACCTGGCGTCTGCGGCCCCCTACGGATAACAATAGCATTAGAATGTCTGAAATTGTCTAATGAAAGATGCCAATTAAGTGTTGTTGTTTTAGCCCCAAGGAGGTCCTGGGATATGTGACCTGCTTCACTGCGGGGACACCCTGTGTACGCCCGGGGTCTCGCCTTGTAGGATAGAGAGTGAGTAGAGCAATGTAGCAATGTAGCAATGTAGCAATGTAGCAATGTAGCAATGTAGCAATGTAGTAATGTACAGTAACCTGTAGACACCCAACTAAACAAACATAAAACAACAAAAAATCAAAATGTCAAATATCTTGACAAAACATTTTTAAATATCTTGTTCCTACAGTTATAAAACAAAGCGGGGTTGCTTGTACTGATTATAGCACGAAAAGTAGTTAATTGCTGCATTTACTTACTGTACTTTTGCTGCACTAATTTTCTTTGCCACATTCCAGTATTATAACCAAACAACACAAAAAGCGTGTTTCTATTAGGCACGTAATCCGTGTACGCTTGAAAATATGTTGGCAACACTACGACAACGATTAGCTGGGGCAGTGTTTCCCATTTCGTTCGTTGGATTTAACCTAACCAGCAACGTGTTGTTTAGTGTTACACATTATATTTTTAACCGACTTCCCCACTACCAACAAAAGGAGGAGGTTCTCAATTTGTTTGTGGCGATGTTTTTTTTTTTCTATGTATGTTCACCAATTTCTCTGTGATTCTTTTACCGATCAGTGTGGTTCCACCACCAAAATAACCAGGAGGGTTTCTATTTGGTACCTTATATATTATGTTTAAGTATAATATTAGTTTCGGTGAAAAATTCTGAAAACCTTAAATATTCAACATTTATTTTGTTTACATCTGTGCAGATTGTTTACATTTGTGCAGAGAAGGCAATAAATAATAATAACATTCCTACAGCTGTTAGTTGAAACCATTTAAATGAAGCTGCAGACAATTCTTCTCATATTGATCAATAAACTATTTCTTGCCATGGAGCCTAAATGAATTACATTGAGAAATGCATTTTCTTTTGGTTACTATAAAAAATGTATTTTAACGTTTGACCTGATTTGTGTATACAGTCAGTGCATAATCGTCAATTGTCTTAAAAGTGTTAAATATTTTAATTACTAATATGCATTTGCAGATGTGGAATGTTTATTGATATTCTCTACCCAGTTACTATATATCAATACTATTATGCCTGCTTCGGAAAGTCCTAGAGGGAGATGATTTGCAATTTCGACTAGGCTATATCTTGATCAAACAAAACCACCAACATGGCTTGCACCACTTTTAGCTGAACCAATCTTTCATATACATATTTCATTTGCAGATGTGGAATGTTTATTAATATTCTCTACCCAGTTACTATAACCTCAGAGTAATTACTCTGAGCTATAACCTACATATCAATAAAAAGTCAAGACCCCCCCCTCTAATATTTTTCCAAGTAAATATACAGAGATATCCTTTTGGTGGTCGAGCAATCTTAGCAGGAAGTTTCATTTTATCATTTTGAAATTTTTGAGTGTCCCCCCAAAAGGGGGGATTTGGGGGGCAACTCAAATATTTTAAATATAAACCCCCTTCAAGTGACACCTCATTTTGAAGTGTTTACAAAAACTTAAAGAATGGTGAAAACTAGAGGTCGCTATCCCTTCTCTATCCAAAATGGTAGCCCGTCAAATGTTGTGGAAAATCAATGGTAAAATTTTTAATATTGGCTGTCATTTTGGATAGAGAAGAGATAGCGAGCTCTGGTTTCCACCATTCTTTAAGTTTTTGTAAACACTTCAAAATGAGGTGTCACTTGATAGGGGTTTCTATTGAAACATTTTCAGTTGTCCCCCGAATCCCCCCCTTTTGGGGGACACTCAAAAATTTTAAATGTAAACCCCCTTCAAGTGACACCTCATTTTGAAGTGTTTACAAAAACTTAAAGAATGGTGAAAACCAGAGCTCGCTATCTCTTCTCTATCCAAAATGACAGCCAATATTAAACATTTTACCATTGATTTTCCACAACATTTGACGGGCTACCATTTTGGATAGAGAAGGGATAGCGACCTCTAGTTTTCACCATTCTTTAAGTTTTTGTAAACACTTCAAAATGAGGTGTCACTTGAAGGGGGTTTATATTTAAAATATTTGAGTTGCCCCCCAAATCCCCCCTTTTGGGGGGACACTCAAAAATTTCAAAATGATAAAATGAAACTTCCTGCTAAGATTGCTCGACCACCAAAAGGATATCTCTGTATATTTACTTGGAAAAATATTAGAGGGGGGGGTCTTGACTTTTTATTCACCCTGTATAATATTTTCCAAAGGTACTATACGTGTTAACGACCAATTTTTTTACTTTTGAGAGATTGTTTAGTGCTGGTAGCTGAGGAATAACTTTCATATTGTTCCAAAAGGCTTGAGACGTTACTGTATTTCTTTTTATAAGGTAGAAGTACACCGATTGCAGGAAACGATGATGTCTGACATTTCAATGTATCTAGAAAAGACAATTAGTTTTTCATTAGGCCTAATATAATGGACAACTCTTTCTTTCTTAAGGAATATGTAAACATGTTTATTTTCATACCCATTGATTATGTAACCTGAACAGGTGACTCAAGCAGTTTTAAAATAATGATTGTTCTGTGGAACTTTTGATTGTTTCAAACAGTTTTGCTTATCAAAAAACCTCAAGTAATTAATATATAAAAAATTATACAGTCACTAAAAATCATGAAATAATTTATTTTTCTAAAAAAATACAACCGACTTCAAAAGCTCTAAAAAGAATGAAATAATTTCAATAAAGTAAACTTTTGTATTAGGCAAGCTCACGTATTTCAAGTCGGCGCGGCTCAAACTGCAAATATGATTGAAATTAAATATTGTGTATGTATTTTGAAAATCAATAAATTGTAGCTGGATAACATAAATATATAAAAAAACATACTGAACTGTTTTTTTTATATATTAAAGGAAATATTTTCTTGTATTTTATGTTTACTTCAGAATAAATGCATTATGAAAATAACACACACAAATGATATGAATAGGAAAATAATTTAGTTTGATATTATGATAGGGAAAAGAAGCTAGTTTAGTATTAAAACGTTACTTTTCCAAGTTAGAAACATTTAAATGCGTTATAATCTTTTTAAAGATACTCTTTAATACCACTATAATGCCGATCTCTGATTACGGTAATAAAATAACACTTAACGCATAACTATGAAAAAGACATGCAGATTAACACCTTTAGTTATAGATAGTCGCCTGCAAAATGGACACCCTCTTTCAATTTTGTATCAAAAATCATCATAGAGCCGCGCCGAATTAAAATACGTGAGCTTGCCTAATACAAAAGTTTACTTTATTGAAATTATTTCATTCTTTTTAGAGCTTTTGAAGTCGGTTGTATTTTTTTAGAAAAATAAATTATTCCTACAGTTACTAAAAATCATACATATAATTAGTCTTTCAATCACTATACAACACGTTTTTAGGTTTGGTTAAATCCAAGTTTTGAACGAAATTGGAAACGCTGCACCAGCTGATTGTAGTCGTAGTATCTTTAAGTGTTGCCAACTTAATTTCAAGCGTACACGATTTACGTGGCTAATAAAAGCACACTGTTTTGTGTTGTTTGATTGGAATACTGGAATGCGGTAAAGTAAAATGAGTGTGGGAAAAGTAAGTAAATGCGGCAATTTGCGTCTTTGCGTGCTATAATCAGTGCAAGGATGATCACTTTGTCAGGTAACTGTAGGAATAATAATACAGTAATGTTTACGCGAGCGCAACGTATTCTAATCCGCGCAACTTCGCACACTAGTTACACAAATAATTATTTCTTATTGCTGTATGTTCTAAAAGTTTCTGAGGTTGAAGTAGATTTGATCTTCGGGGAGTGGTACATAATACTAGTTTCAAATGTGTTGCAACCATCCATATTAGTTGAAATCTGTTCGCTTCAAACATGGATCGTTGCACCTTTGGTCAGTAATTTTGCCCATAAAGTGACGCGTTCATGACAAAACACCTGCCAAGTTATTGCACTGAGATTAAACTAAGAAGCTACTGCTACTGGCCTAAGATCTTGCATACATTTGAAAAACCTTTCCTGCTGCAACTGATAAAATAAACATTATTTTAGGAGAATTAACCACATATTTAATAAGTGTACGAAAATCAAGCTGGTCGACCCCGGAGACAAAGTCCCTATTTTCCTTTCACATCTTAAAATATAATAGCAAATAACTAGGGTAGACTTCCGTATCTGTTGGCACAAACAACCGAATAAAATATCGATCGATATATCGATGTATCGTTTGGTTAGTTAGGTAAGGTTAACCTAACCTAACCAACCAAATTGTATATCGAATGAAACAATTGAATAATCGATATTTTCATTCGGTTGTTTGTGCCAACAGATACGGAAGTATACCTAATAACTTATGACTAATTAAAAATTATGTTACACTATGATGGACTTGTAAATTTTCTTTTAATTTTCCAGGTAGCATAAAACCCTTCAATATCAAGATACAGTTTGGTCCAGGACTGAGAGCGGAGAACCCTGAAGACAACCTGGGAATGTGCCTGAAATATGAACAAGTTCCTTGTAGTTAGGTAGAAGTAGGCAGATAGTATTCGAAAGTGGAGAGAAATGCGTAAAAATAACACAGAATTGTAATTAGTACTGTTGTTGTACTACCAAAACGAACTGTTATTGTAAATTGACTATATTTTAAACAAATAGTTTAAAAAAGCTTTGATTTGCTAGATGTGCTGCACTCAAAGGCCTCTCAGGCTCATACCAATGTCCCACCAACTTAAAATATGTAAAATTGAAATTGCTGTCACAATATGTTTCATCGAGTGACCCATAGACTTACTGTGTATAGTCAATGATTATATCCAGCAACCCGAAGATTAAAACGGTTTGTATTATTATTTAAATTTTACATTAAAATATAATTGAACGGCTAATAAAAACCCCCTTTACACTTGTATTGTTTATTAAGTTTACAAACGTCTGAGATCTGGTTTTAAGGAGGGGGTGGGTCGTCAACATTTACCCCTAATATTATAACCATCTAATCAAGAAGCAATGATAAAAATGATCTTTTTGAGTCCTTTTTGATAGCTGTACATGGACCATATGTTGATAGTTTATTGTTTAGATCATGAATCCTAGATATAGTTCGATGTGAAATGTTCCAAACCGGAATCTGATTCTTGAATTCTCTTTGAACTGTGCGCGGGTCAATAGCGAAACCACAGTCGACAGTTTTTTTCCATTTCGATATTTATGGTAAAACCTGACACCTAACAGCAAAATATAACTCTCGTACGTTTTAGAACATTTGACAGAATGTATTGCAATAGTGCAATCCATAGGTTATTTCTGTGCCACACTGGATAAATTTTGTTAATTTTTTACCGTACATTATTCATAACATTAAAGATATATCGTGTGTTATGTACTTTTCAGCCCTCGATTAACTTTAAGTACCCGTAGAATTTACATTACGTGGATCTATAAGCTTGTATGGATAACATGTAAAGCTACGAATTTATAATTATATATAGTTAATTTATTACTTACTTACTCTTACTTACTTACTTCTGTGGCCATTGAAAACCAAGGTGGTCTTTGGCCTCGCCAACCATGTGCCTCCAGGATCCTCTGTCCTCTGCCAGCTCCAGGTCTGCTCTCATACTCCTTAGGTCCTTTGTAACCTCGTCAATCCATCTCATCCTTGGCCTTCCCAATGGTCTCATTCCCTCCGACGTACCTCTTATCACTTGTTTTATCATCTCCCTCTCACCTCTGCGTTGAATGTGGCCCAGCCACCTCAACCTTATATTCTTAACCACTCCCACAATATCTGGTTCCTTATGCAATTCCCTCAATTCCCTATTTTTTCTCATTCTCCATGAGTCTTTTATTGGTCCAAAAATCCTTCTAAATTATTTATTTTCAAAAGTTATAGGTCTTTTTTGGGATATTTTTGTGAAAGACCAAGTCTCTGATCCGTATAGCACTACAGGTTGCACTATGGTTTTATACATTCTTATTTTGGTGGTTTTTGATAGAAGTTTACTTTTGTATAATTTTATTAAGCTCCAATATGATTTTTCTGCTGCTGTGAGTCTGTTTTGAATCCAAACATCTTCTCTGTTATTGTTTGTGATTTTTACTCCCAGATATTTATACGTGTTTGCTTTGTGGAAGCTAGGTGTAGATACGGACCTATTTAATAGCTTTGTTAACTGTAAAGTTTTACAGTATAACAGCTGATTAATAGCTAGGTGTAGATACGGACCTGTTTAATAGCTTTGTTTACTGTAAATTTCGATAGTATCACAGCTGGTTATCTATTTAAAATAACATAACAAACCGATAGCTAGATGTAGATACGGACCTATTTAATAGCTTTGTTTACTGTAAAGTTTGAGAGTATCATAACTCACAGCTGATTAGTATTCTGTCGAGCTAGGCAAAGCCGTTATGTATTGATGTCATGATACTGCGGGATAACAGTTGTAGCTGTAACAATACATGACTTTATCCTGTCAGATGTTCAATACTATTGAATAACAAACTGTAAAAAGGTTAAGAATTAACACTTATTTACCTACGACAGTTTTTTTAAATTGGCTTTTTTGATTCAATTTTTAGAATTACAAAGATTCGCGTACACATTGCTTAATTTAAATTTCTACTTGTGTCGTAAAGACTATTTCTACACCATTGTTGTTTTCTACTCGTGTCGTTAAAACTATCTATACGTGTCCGTTGGGTAAACTACTATTACTTAAGCCTTCGAAATAAATGGATAAATGCGGAAGTTAGAATAAGAAATGAGAAATAAGAAATGACGATACTTCATGTACCTGTGGAGTCGAGAGTCAAACTATAAATGAAAAGGTCAACAATAGTCCCATGATGGCTCCCCTAGTGAATCGCGCAGACTCCATAGCACTTAAGAATGAAGCTAGACATAAATGGGATACAGTTGTGAATACCTCTTTGAGATAAAAGGGCAGATGTCCTATTTTTACTTTATTATCAAGTAAAAGTACATTATGCTAAAGTCTTTTGCAATTTTACTCTTTCTGGTGGCTTGCCCAAAAGAGATAGAACAATATACATTGGCATTACTGGAAGATGATACTGGAGTATGAAACACTTGACTTCCGCAGAGAACCTACGATATATTATTGTATGAATAACGATATACATCGAAACTTGTTAGGTTCGATATATAGATTATAATTTTTTTTGTATTGCAACCATCAATTTCAAAAATGGTTTGCTTACGTTTTTATTGATATGTAATAATGTAATAATTAAAACCATCAATATAAAAACCCCTTATTTATTGTATGAAAAGTAACAAACAATAACTGAAACATAAATAAATTATAAAAATATTAAGAAATATGAACTAAAAACCTAAAAAAATTTTTCCAAATTTAATCTTTAATATTTAAGTGGGAACTATGGAATAAAAAGCTTTGTTAATGTTATTGCTATTTTCTTTCTATCATATGGTAAAATTAAAATCATAGTTATATTCATATAGAACCAGATAAATATCGATATTTATCGTTATTCATCCGATAATTTATCGTAGGTTTTCTAGAAGTATACCTACTTTCCATTGTCTTGTTAATTGAACTGTGGAAAGGAATAAAAACAGTCCAATAATATACGATATTTGCTTTTATTTCCAAAATTTAATATACAATAACAATAGACGCACAACCTACGTTCGCGTGAGAATTGGCAGCCAAGATGAAAACTTTGACTGGAACATAACAACAGGTAAGTGATAAAGAATAAATGTGATATGACATTCAGATCTGTAATTGAAATAACCAGCAAGAATAAATGGGTAGACTTCCTTATCTGTTGGCACAAACTACCGAATGAAAATATCGATTATTCGATTGTTTCATTCGATATATCGTTTGGTTAGTTAAGTTAGGTTAACCTTAGCTAAATAACCAAACGATATATCGAATAATCGATATATCGATCGATACTTTCATTCGGTTGTTTGTGCCAAAAGATACGGAAGTCTACCCGAATAAATCTCCGTTTTACCTAAATATTTAAACACAGTGAAAGTATTTTAAACCCTTCCAAGAGCTTTACAACTTTTAAAATAGAGACTTAGCTATCGTTATTATATTTTACCTATATACAGTAAAGCTATACAAAACCGATATTATTGCAGTTATAAAGCGATAGCAGTATTTTATGCAAAGTTTTACTCGCATAGTGTGAACTTGGAGGCTTTGATTTCTGTACATCCGATAACATTCTTTACAATGTGTAACATCACATAAAATTTGTCTTTATATAACAACTACCTCCAAATTAAATTGAAAAAGTTGATATCGAACAAGTTAAAGCTAAGACAAAAACTTAAACATAATGAACCTAAACCATAATGGGAAAAAGCTCGAAGTTAGGTTTAGTAATTGATATAAATATTATTACTAGTTATCAATAATACTGTACAACTAGCATTATTCATTGAATGCGAAAGAAAATTACACTAGATTCAAAGATAACTGGCAAAGCATTAAAATGTTGTCTATTTGTTCCAAACATTTTCTTAAATAGAGTTTTTAATGACTTTAAGTAGATAAATATATTGCCGATAGGTAAAGTATGTGTGTAAACAAAACATACGAGTACTACAAAAAAAAAAAAAATAAATAAATAAAAAAAAAAAACATGAGTTGGGTAAGGAGTTTTCCCAAAGATAGTTCAATCTGCAATGGATGCTAGCTTTGTATTTTTTTAATATTATAGGATCCGTATATTGGTTTTAAATTTTTTTTGGTTATGTAAATCAATAAAAAATAGTTAAAAATAGTTAAAATGGATAAATGTTGTAATTTTGTAGCACAAACATGTTTTGTATGTTAAGAAGTTACAATAAAAACAGCAAAATGTTATAAATTTTCACTAGAATAGTTGATAAACTTATATGACTAGAGCAATCAACTATAAATGCAATGAAACAACAAGAGGAATGTATAAAGTAAAATTACTCTATTCTTACTCTAAAAAGGACTAGACAAAAGATAATTTATATTGTTAAATTGTCAAATAACTATCAAACAATCTTGGATTGACTGCGAACTAAGAATATTTGATTAAATACGAGTATATACCATTCATAGTGGGTTATTTGCATGGCAAGTAGTCATTCGAGATTTAATCATACGTTTTAAAAACATTGTTTGGATAAGAGAACACATACGAATAGCAGGGCAAATGCTAATAAATAAATACATTTTGAGAGACAATAGTCAATATAACTAATGCATCTATCATGATGAGAAGCATTTTAGATAGAATATTTATAATTTTCAATTCAAACAGGTTTACGATTTGAAACGGAATGGTTTTAAGAATTTTCAAAACTCATGAGCAAACTCAAACGAAAACATTTAATCATATAAGCATATCTGCTTCAGCGTAATTTTAATTGAACTACATCCAACCTTTCATAAAAATGAAACTCTGACCAAACTTTATTAAAAAAAGATAACCACCACTTATGTGTATGTTCTCATACCTTAGTGCACTATAGTTCACAAACTTACACCTAGATAGCACGGCAATCACAGAGTTGTAACAGATAAAACTGCCATCTTGATCCCATTTTCTTTTTCGGTTGTGTTTATTGTTTATAATATTACACTTTTAAATTGGGGACCATTGAATTTCCGTAACTTTATGACTAAACTATTAACAGATAAGTGTTTCTCATTACAATATGGTTTCTAAAATTTCATTTATTTGGAATTAGTTGGAATTAATAACCTATGTTTGTATCTTCTAGTTTATCATTGAATTATTTATAAATTAACGTTTTTGATATGTATTCGTACATAGGAGTGCGTTATGATTTATTAAAGCTTATACAGTATGTTTACTGCATAAACATTTTCAGTTATG